GAATACGCGTTCGGTCCTGGTTTATAAAATTGAAATCTATTATGCTGACAATTTAATGTTCTAGTGAACACATACAAACACATCATAGAAACAAAACACCTGCATTTGGTCCACTCCCTATCAAATAAGAATTGAAAATAAATATAAATGAACGCAGGGCGAGCTGAATAGCTATATTTCAAATGTTTTCTCCCGTTTTGGTCCGAGATGAATTACAGATGTGTAAAGTTATATGAATATAAACTGGGTGAGAAAAACAGTCGAACCGACAGTGGAGACATAAGCCATGATCATACAGAGAGTTGGTGGAGATGAAGAACCCGTTTCTAGCAAAATTAATAAACATTGATAGAATATCTAGCAACACAGTAAAACCTCGATATAATGCCCCTCGTTTAATTGGCAACCTCACTTACTGCTAACATATCTCAACATCCCCTTTTTGTCTTTTTCATGAGAGATCCTTTTCATATTTCCTTCAATATTTTGTCAAACCCCTTTACAACGCTATTTTTTTCTCTCTGGACAAATAATCAATCAGCAGCGTCGAAGCAGAACAGAAATTGCTGTCTCTAGATATCACCATATTAGTACATCAACAATTGTAGGTAAAGCGTATCACTCACAAACCTGAGTACAATGGATTGGTACCTTCAAACTTACCGTACCTTACCTAAACAATAATAAGCAAAGGTGTGGTAGTTAGCCCACCATGTGCAAGTTATAGAAACGAAGGTCAGAGACACGCATCAGAGCAATTTATCAGACGGACATTTAAATGTTAACCCCTAGAAGAAATAATTACATCCCTAAGATAAGCACAGGATCATATTATGTTTTCTTAAAACGACCAAGCTAAATGAAATGATTTCTGCCTTCAACTCTCATTACACTCTCCTGTGAATTCACCACTGTCACATATGGAAGTGTATGCTAGCTATCATTGTCAACCGTATAAATGTATATTAACAGTTTTTAAAGACTGAAAATAGCCCATAGAAACCTATCTATCAAACAGGTTAAGATTTTAAAGAAAATATTGCACAATTTTTGAACTTTTGAGGCCACAATCAACAAATTGTTTATAAATTTTAATATTCATGAGTCAATTCCTGGTCCGAGGACACAATATGATGACAATGTTATCAGCATGCCTGCTAGTGGTAGTGTTTACAGTGAGTTAAAGGAAACTGAAAAGTTATCAAACGATAATAAGTATAGATTCGGAGGGTTTTATTTATTTACCACTCTAAATCTTCTAGATTAGTGTAAATCAATTTATTTTCCAGAGGGATAAATTTCGATGTTAATTCACAAGGAGACTCATTTGTGATTTGGAAAGGTTCAAATGTGACTTCAGGGGTGAATGGATTAATTCTTTAATTGTGTTTTACAAGAATGCATAAATATTGTTAACTTGATGGTTGTGATATAGACAATCAATTAAATATGAAACATAAACCAAATCAATAGACAAATTATTAAAGAATCACAGAAAATATTTTGTATCTTATCAATAATATATGGCTCATAGTGACATTAACTCATTCACCCCTGAAGACACATTTGAACTCTTCTGATTCAAAGGTTGGAATAGTTCATTATGAAATTTCAGGGGTGAATGAGTTCAACATAATTTGAATATTTACTTTCATATTGCACATGTCGTGAAAAGTTATTGTCAGTGCATGGCCTACACCAACAGAAGAGATGAGCACATGACACCTATATCTCGGACTGTCAACTTCTCACCAAATACCAGGTGGAGGTAATTTGAGGTGGGAGGGTCTGAGTAAATTTAAACCATTCAGCTACATGGTTTTTTTTATAAACACAAACGACACACACAAACCTTTTAATGTCTCCATTTTGACACCTTGTCACAATATTGCATACTGTGTAGGACTTCACAGACAACAATCACCTAGATTTAAGTCCATTTCGAAAAGAAATATTTATACACAATACTTCGTGTAGTCTGGAATGATACAATTCACAAATTTCTATTTCACTGATGAGCATTACTTGATGCATCAGATTAATAGATATATAAACTACCCAACCCTCTTCCCCAAACATTAGATACACAAACTACCCCCTTCTCCTAAACGTAAGATGCAAAATCTACCCACCCCCTTTCCACTAACAATATATAAGCTACCCAACCCCTTCCCATAAACATTTTAAACAGCATCATCACGGGGGAAAAGGAATGATTGTTTTGATTAACACAACACAGATTTTTTGTATTTTTCATAAATATTACTGTATATTGTAAAGCTATACACAGCATAGAACCAAATGTGATCTGATGGATCCAGACAGATTTTAGATGACCTAGATTCATGTAAAATGCTATAGCCTAAAACTAGGGTTGAAGCATGTACAGCCTCAAACTTGGCCTGAACTACAGGTCTCAAACTTGGCCTGAACTACAGGTCTCAAACTTGGCCTAAATCAGATGTAGTCTCAAATGTATGTCCAGCATAGAACCATATAGTCAAAAACCATTCCAACATTGTTTAGAACCAGATTATGTTAACAGATCTCTTGAAAAAAAAATCAAATGAACTACACAAGAAACATAATGGGCAAATTGACAAACAGTGCATCTTGAATGACAACGCCCCATTATTTTTAATACATACTGGTATTAAATCTGCTGCGGCAATTGTTCATTTCTCCACCCAGTGCCATTTATAACCATATTCTTTTCAACTGTTCAAATCAATCACGTAGTTCTTGATCTATGGTTCATCAGAATCAAGTTTATGGGTTTGGCCCACTGAACGTTTTAAGGAGACCCCCCTCCTTTTTGAAGTATCCTATTGTTCATATTTTCTGTCACATATCTGTGACCTGCTCCAGGTATTGGGCAAGACAAAAAGGGGTTCTTTATAAGGGCGAGCCAAGATGTTTTTGGTGGTGGTGGTGGTGGTGGGGGGGTTAGGAAAATAGGGCAAAGAATAAATACACCATCAATTAACATGGAGACAGAAATAATAATTGACCAGCATTCCATTACTGTTGACTACACATACTTTGGCAGTTCCTTATGTCGTGGGCAAAAAAAAAAAAACATTCTGTAAAGGTTCTGACTTAAAGTCAACAAAAAGTGTTATTAAAACAAAACAGTGTTGTTCCAAGCTTCAGTTATGCTACATGCAACGTAGAAAATAAAGAACAATGGAGTCCTAGATATCCTGAACCAGCGAGCGAGATTCCTCACGATGCCAATAAGATAGCTGTAACAGGGTGCCGTGATTGAGGTTATAACATAGCTCACATATCAGTGAAGTCAGCTACACATTGACAAACTCACGATCAGTTCCGTCCAAGTCTCATACTACTGTAACAGAGAATTCATCAGATGTATCACTGAAGTATACCTAACAAAATTAATACACTGTGGGTTAGACTTCTGAACAAATACTTTGAAGCTTACCTTATAATACATCATACTTCTTCAGTTTACCAATCAAATACACTGAATTTAATATCTGAAAACAATACTTTATATTCAACTTTTGAATACTGATTCTTTCAATTAATTAAAATTTTGAATACTATCACTTTGAAATGAACTTCGGAATGCCAATACTTTCAACATGTTCAAGTATTTAAAGAGATACACAAATTACACAATTTTTAAAGAAATTTCTTAAAAAATAAATAAATTTGTATGCAGCATAGCTTAAAATTTGAAAATTTAATGACATATTCCACAGCTATTTCAGACAATGAACCTTTTTACAATTATGATTATGAATCTCATGATAAAACTTGATAGAAATGAGTAAAGATTTAATTTCAGCTTTAATGTTATGGATTTATTTTTTGTCTTGGACACGATGATAAGATCCAAGGAGAAAAGTCTTGTTTTTGTTTATCTATATAGTGATATGAATAGGATTTACAATTGATAATACATTGTACAATATTCCTATAAAACACCAATATCATGTTTACGATAAAACAGTAGGTAAAATTAAAACTTGTAACAGCATACTTATATTGTGCAGATATTTACTAACATGACAACTACTTTTATATACACACACCATTTCACACATAAACAAATGGAAGTGGAACGTCATCTTGACTTTTAACATTAACAGTTTGGTACGCATTGTGGTGCTTCTGTACATTTGATAGCGGCCGTTTCAATGACCCATAACACACTATGTTATATACTAGTAACATATACAGACGGTTACATACAGGGCAACAACAGGAAAAGATAAAATATCACAGATAGCTATTGACAGAAACGTAAAAACTCTATTCGCTAATCTAGTATGGGTTATAATGTTATAACTTATAAACCAGTTTCTGTACTACAACCTTGGCTTTGGTGCGGAAGTATATCTTAAAGTGGCAATATACACACACGAATCTTATTTACAAGCAAGCACAACATGTACTATTAATTTACTGTTGGTTCTATTTTCTCTAGAATGCATTATATTACTTCTCACTAAGTGTGAAGTTGGAAAAACTTGCATAATAATAATAATAGCTCATATCTTCTTTAGAACTTTTAGGATGTTTTAAGTAAGTTACACCTAAAATGCCATACAAAAACAAGATATCACAACACAATGTCATATTGTTTTGATGAAATGTAACAGTTTTAGGCAACGTCTGGTACGTGATGATTTCAGACGAGGCCTCTATCTATCCTACTCACAGTGTAGTCTGCAGGTCTGCCCTAATACTCTCACTCAACATATCGACAGCAGAACCCTAGACTTGGACAAGTCCTAAGCTACTTGTATCATAATCAGTAACAAATACGAGGACAATGGTGGTGAAAGGAAATCTAGCTTTAAACATTCATCATTTTATAATTAAACCACAACATTTTGCTTTATCTACTTTTCCCCATTTTTCTGCTTTTAACCCTTTTTACATGGGGATACTTTAACCCTTTCACCACTATAGACAATAATGAACTCATCCAGATCAATACATGGTAGAGTCTACTAAGATTACATGGGGATACTTTAACCCTTTCACCACTGTAGACCATAATGGACTCGTCCAGATCAATACATGGTAGAGTCTACTTAAGTTATGTAGGGGTGAAAGGATCAACCACCTACCTTAATTTTGGTCAAATTGAAACTTTTCCTAATTCCTTTGAACACAATTCATAAATGAAGCATCAAACCCGACAAAATCCCCAAACATTCAACAGCACATCAAGCAGACTTAAAATGAAAGCTGTTTTGCTATTGTGCACTGGTGACAGGATACTGCCAAAATCTTGGGCTTAAGACTTTATTCCTATCTTTCACTCAAAGATAACTTATGTATCATCCTTAACATTAATGTTATCAGCAATACAAAGATTTTGAAAAAAAAAAAAAAAAATGAAAATATTTTTAAAATGTTCAATACAATAGCAACGAATCTTTTGCTAAATAAACTATCTAAGCATGGTTAAACTTTGGTACTGAATAACCACCTATGTCAAACGTAACGATGATTGGCCCAGATTGCTAACCTGGGGAATGTGGAGTATACATAAGTCCCACATAATCCAGCACAGACAAATGGTGTATTGCACATTCACAAATACCCTGCAGAGGAATGACTTACTGAACAATGTAACACTAACTAGTTCAATGAAATGACATAAAATATTCTACAATGTGTTTTTTTTTAATCCATAATGGTAATTTCCCTGTCATTAATGGTATGCATGGATAATTTTTTAATCTCATATTTATATTTTAAAGACATGTATACAAAAGTACTAATTTATCCATCATGACAGAAATTTCATACTCGGAAACATGTTTATGTATTACATATAGCCTATACTTGATCTACTATGGTTGGTATTTAGCCAAGTTAATGATGTATGGACTAATTTTGGCAACTTTTTCACCATGCCTATGAAAATTCCTTTCTCCTCAACATTTCATAATCCTCACATTAAGAGTATGTGTATGGTATAGCTGTGTTTCCATGGAATTGACCCATGGAGATGACACCATGGAGATGACCCTTGAATGGTTGGTAATCAATGAATAAATTTCCTCTTCTTTACATGGTTTCTCCTCTCAAAAGGCTGGTGAAAAGCTCTGATCATAACTCAACTGTCTGTATTTGCAGAGCAAGGGTTTCCAACACAAGGTTTGTGAAGCGGAGTCTCCAGTAAACACAAACTGTATGGGCATAGTCGGCATGGCCTTATGATATAAGGACATGGCCTTAGACTTATTTTTAGCTTGGCCTAGGAATTACAGATTGTAGGTGTGGATTGAAACTGCTTGATATGGCCACAGGTGTAACCCAAGACTTGCAGTCATGGTCTAAGACTTGAATTGACTTGTCTGCTGGACACTGTCGTATGAACTGTTTATGTAACCTTAGACTTGCAGCATTGGTGTAACCTAAGACTTGCAGATATGGCTGAAGATTTACACGGACCTGCACAGGTGGCCAAATTACTGCTGGACACTGTCATTTGAATAGTAGGTGTAACCGAAGACTAGGAGGCTTGGCTTCAAAAACTTGCATGAACTTGCAAACGTGGCCATATCACTGACAAATCGCCATATGAGTTGTAGGTGTAATCTTAAAATTTGTAGAGATGGCAGAAGACTAATATGGTCATACAAATTGTAGACAAAGTCCTATGAATTGCCGGTGTGGCCTGATGGCTTGAAGGCATGGATTACGACTTGCTGTTGGTAATGTTATCAGCTGCAGCCTGCTGGGCCTTGATGATGTTGTAACATGCCTGGCACACTCGGACTGGTCTGAGGATCCGAAGTCGACGAATCTCAGTCTCGTACTTACTACATCTGAAAACAGATAATGATTGATGTTACTACTATGTTTACTTGTAAAATTAATCCCATACCAAATTTAGTATTTATCTAATGTTAACAATTATCTATTTCATGATGGAGCTTCAAACCACTTCATATTCAAGATTTGATTCAATATATGAATGTATGTCCCTCAAATAACTATTTGCCATACATTTGAGTTCACACCTGACTGTCCTTGCTAAACGAAATAAAACTAGTAATGTAAGCAGCAGGCTACCTAATGCCCTTTGTACATTCTAAGGACCCATTCTCAGGTGTAATAATTAATAACAAGAGGCCCTCGGCCTGTATCGCTCACCTTGATATCAAAAGTAATCATGGCAAAATATTCTCCAAATAAGATCCAAGGAAATGGGCCAGACCCCAAGGCCAATCCTTGTATCATATCTGTATTAGAGTTTTCATGCCCAGCAATTTAATGTATGGTTATGGGGTGGGGATCTCCACTGCTTCCAAGGTGTGATTCAGAAACTAGGTCCCTAGGGTTGTGGCCAGATCCCAGGATCAATTATAATATCATGACTGCATTTGTCTCTTTATGACCAACAATTGTATATATAGTTTTGGGTTGGGGATATGGTAATAGGGTGGGGATCTCAACCACTTCCAAGCAATAAACTATTTTTTGCCCCACCCTTTAGCCAAGGGGGTCAGCCTCACTACTTGTACAATTTGAATCCCTGCCTCCAATGAATGCTTCTTACCAAATATGATTGATATCCATTGCATAGTTCTACAGAAGAAGTCATTTATAGCAATATAGCCAAATTGACCCCTTTTGGCCACGCCCTTCAGCCCTCTGGGGGGTCAGCCCCACCATTTGTACATTTTTGAATCCCAACTACCTAGGGATGCATCCAGTCAAATATGGTTAATATCAATCTCTTAGTTCCAGAGAAGAAGAGTCGCTTAAAGCAATATAGCCAAATAACCCTTTTTGGCCCCGCCTTTCAGCCCCCTGGGGGGTCAGCCCCACCATTTGTACACTTTTGAATCCCTGCCTCTTATGAATGCTTCTGACCAAATATGATTGATATCCAGCGCATAGTTCTACAGAAGCAGTCATTATAGCAATTTAGCCAAATTGCCCCCTTTTGGCCCCGCCCCCTTGGAGGTCAGCCCCACCATTTGTACAATTTTAAAACTCCACTACCTAGGGATTCTTCCAGTAAAATATGGTTTATATCCAGCTCTAAGTTCCAGAGGAGAAGTCGCTTAAAGCAATATAGCCAAATTGACCCCTTTTGGCCCCACCCTCAGCCCCCTTGGGTGTCAGCCCCACCATTTTGGGGTCAGCCCTACCATTTGTACAATTTTTAATCCCCACTACGTAGGGATGCTTCCAGTCAAATATGGTTGATGTCCATCTTTTAATTGTAGAGAAGTTGCTTAAAGCAATATAGCCAAATTGTCCCCTTTTGGCCCCGCCCCTCAGCCCCCTGGGGGGTTGACCCTACCATTTGTACAATTTTGAATCCCCACCACCTAGGGATGCTTCCAGTCAAATTTAGTTAAATTCCAATCAGTGGTTAAGAAGAAGAAGTCATTTGAAGAAATTGTTGACGTACAGACGAGGGACGAGGGACGCCACATTATGGCATAAACTTTGGACCAGGTGAGCTAATAATAATACCTTGGTAATAATAACTCGAGGTTCTTATATACCGCTTTATCACAACCTAGTTCGTAGGTCGTCTCAAAGCAGTTCACAAATTATTATCCGTGGTTATAGGGCCTTTGCAACCAGCCAACATGTGCTGCCATTTTGGTGCTCACAGCTAGCATTCTACAATTCTAGCACTGCCCAACCACGTACTCATTTACAGCTGAGTAGACTGGAACAAGCGGAGTAAAGTATCTTGCTCAAAGAGACAACACAGTGCCGTGCCGTGCCGTGCCGTGACTCGAACCTGCAACCCTTCTGTCACGAGCCCAGTGTCTTTAAGTAAGGAACTTTGTTTTGACTTTGGCAGGTTTTTTTGGTATATATTGAATATGAGTATATACATTTAATAGCACAAAGTTAACAAAACAAAATATCACATAGTTGAGATATACTGAAGCAGCAGATTTTACTTTAAATGTGTATGGAGTTCTACAAGAGAAGTACTTTAAACAATCTTGTGGCTACAGATATAGAGATGGACACCCTGACTCAAGTATAATGCCCCCCCCATTCAGTGAAGAGCATACAAATAGGTATAATATTCATCATAGTTAGCTAATTTCATTAAGGAGCTATAACCATTCATTATTCAAGCTCAGACTTTTACCCATGAAATAACAGAATATTATGCTAATGACAAGTTTTCTTTATCTTCACCCACTTTTACTTCAGATATCATTCCATAAAACCTTCACAATGTATAAATATTTTATCAAAGAGTGCATGTTTTGAATGATTTTTGTTCTTGAGTGACTTGAGGCTATTTTTTCCTGGTCTTCAGATCAATATACTATAACTCTTGAGAGAATTATTTCAATTGTCGAAAAAACGATAAAGGAGGTTACAGAAATGATTGATCCTCCACTTGTTTGTTTTGAATAGAGTTGTGCATATAATTTGGAAACCCCCTTGGCCTCACTCCCTGGATGCACCCCTAGACCAATCTAAATTCAGACATTGTAAAACATATATCCCAACCTGGAGCAGAAGACCTGTCCACAATTGCGACAGTGGTGTCTGCGTTCTGCGAAGGAGAAGCGGACGTTACACGTTGGACAGGTCTCCGCCCCATCATCCTTCATCCAATGGTCAGCTACTACCTTGCCGGGCTGGTCAGTCACCGTCCAGCTGAATATCCGGCCCTTGGCATCACCAACATACACTGTCTTATGGTCTCTGATGTCAAAAACAAATTAACTATATGTAGTTAGGGCACTTTATTATCCCTTCTTACTTTTTGTATTATTAGTGAAGACTAATAGATACTATTATATTAATATAAAAGGATTTTTTTTATATTTAATTGAAGAAAGTTAACATTTCTTTAAATTTTCAAGTGCCTGGTAGATAAAATCTTAGAATTTTGCAATTATTTAGTATGTCACAAGTTATTAGTAGATGATCTTAGAAAAGAGAAGATGGTCCTGGTATCCATATTGAAAAGAAATTCTGAAAAACCTGATAATCTGATAAAAACTTTCTGGAGGGCTATTACAAAGCTTCTTAAATCAGTTTTTATATGTCTGCTGGGATTAAATCCCTAAAAACATGTTACCTTACTGGTATAATCATTTTAACAAAATCAGTTTTCTGTAAGTTTAAGAAGGAGGGGATAATCCTGGACTTACTTTGACACTGCGATAGCTGTAACAGCTGCTGGGTCCTTATTGTCCTTCCGTTCATAAGCCGTGTGCATTGTAAGTTTGCTTCTGAAAACAAGCTGCCTTTGCCATCGGAAACCTGGAAAATTATCACAAGGCATAAATCACGCAGTCTGGTTTAAAGTAAACATCATAATTATTTTTCAATTTACTTAAGTTTGAAAAACATTTTCACTTTACTGTTTAATTTCAATACTAATAATATATATTAATATGTGCAACTTTTTTTTCAAGTTTCCTAGGAAGGGTGTGAAAAAGTCCAGAAATATCTTTCAAAATGGTATAAAACTGTACTTCATGTTGGTCTGTATCAATCTTTAAGCAGTCTTTTCCTTTGTCTTCTCAAAACCATCACAAACCATAACCACTATCCTGTACTTTTTAATGCCACCGTTTGAAATATCACATCGACAAACAAAATGATATCAGTAATGGTCCATATTTCCGATAGCAGCAAATCAAATTAGACAGAAAATAAAGATACAAAATATGCCTTCAATGAGACCACTAGATCTACTTTTTACATTGTTTACCTTCACGCAGTGCATTGCGTTTTCTAGGTTTCCTTTTCAGCAGATCTTCCATAGTTTTGGGTGAGTTTTTGACTTCATTGTCTGTTATGACCTCGAACTCTGACGATGCAGACTTCGACAGAGTTGTCTCCTCTTTCTCGTCGCCTATCTTTAGGTCAGGGTGACTCTGGCTGCAGTTGATTCCATCAACTGTAAGTGCCGAAAGACAAGGTTCAGACTGACTAGGTATCTGAGTATCACTAATGTTTGATTGGTACATGATGTCCAGTGCATTGAGGGCAGGGTCTATCTCTGCCCCGTCTGTACTCCCCACATCGTCCGCACGACACATATCACTGATGCTACTTGTCGTGCTTATAACACTGCCGTCACGCTCTAAATCACAACGCGAGTCACGCAAGTGTGACGGAATGTGACTCTCACTCTCTGCCGATGACCCCATTTCTATTTCACGAGCTGTCAAATCCGGGTCCTTGAATTCCCGAAGTCTGTCCGCTACAGCTCTAGCATCACAGTAACTGGCACATGATTCTTTTCTCAATGTCATTGGAATGTCGACCACTTCACTGCCCATTGCTTCAGCCTGCTCCTCTACAGGTGTAGCATCACATTTGTCCTTATTCTTTTCACTTTTGTTCTCAATTGGAACTTGTACATGCTCAATAGACCACATCTGTGAGGTAGAACATTCAGAATTAGGTACAATTCACAGCTCTGATGCCTTAAGGTATGTTTACTCTAAATAAAGGTATGTTTACTCTAATTATATAAAAATAAATATCTTGAAAAATGTCCAAATATCATTATTTTTGTTTTTCATCTTGACTTACTGATACTTACTTCATATGTATTCAGTTAGAATTATTATTTTTAAAATATGAAGATTATTTTCGATACGTACAGGCAGTAACCTATATCCTCTGGAACTTTGTTGAGAGAGAATAATTGAAGCGTGACCACTACTTACCCTAACAACTCCATCGCTGCTTCCTGTCATAATCACGTTACGACTGTCCCACTCAATAATCTGTCAAGCAAGCAGGAATTGATGAAACAAAGTTGGATGTGGTAAGAGGGAAAAAAATTCTTTTAAAATAGTCATCATTGCCTGAACATCTAGTTCTAAATCTAAATCTAGTTCAACTATTAAAAAAAAAAAATGAATATGTATTCTTAAAATTTCTTGACACATTTCAATCAGATTTTGTGAAGTTCATTTCATTTAAGAGGATCAGTTTTCTGCAAGGTATGGTTGTGTTGACAATTCATTCTTTGTCTCTTTCTTTTTTCTTATAAAGAAATCTAACTAGACAATTAGACCCCTCCCCTCCCCCATTAGCTGGTAGCCTCATTATATCAGTATGTAGGTAATAAGGCTACATTCGCGTATCCCGGTTGAAACGGTATGTGTGGTGCAGAAATTTTCCACGATAAACGAACACACTTGGACCGATCTATAAGCAGAGCTAAAAATGCAGTTTCGGAGAATAAAAAACAATATATCAAGAATATTATACCCTTCTCTCACGCGTTCACTGAATTACATAACGTATCTTAAAAACTACATGTGGCGTGACATTGTTTAAGAAAGAAATAACGCAAACTGACAATAGTCAGCATTTTAGTTTCGGCCAGGTACTTCTTGACCCCTCAATCTACACGTGCCAAATTTTCCTGAGGTCAGCCTCGGTTCAGATCTGTACCTGTCATTTTCTTTACAGGTTCAACCGGTTCAACCGGATACGCGAATGTACCCTAAGAATGGTGTAAGCTTGATCCATGCCCTTACCTGGGACATGGCGAGACAAAGGATCTGTTGACTGCGGAGAGTAGCTGTGTTCACACAGGCAATCTCCTCCCCGTTGATGGACCAGACGTAAAGATAAGTGCCAGCACAGCTTGCTATGTCTCCCTGCAAGGATAAGTTTCTACATCATTGCATGCACAAAATATCGCCTTTATAATTTCAACTGGTGAAAGAAAACAACTTCTCACTACAGAATGTAACAAATAAATGTAATCTTCCTATAAAAATCCTTCAATGACAAAACTAGTTTCAAACAGGGATATTTTAGATGTGAATATATAATAGTGGATGTGGATGCCAGATATAATTGACAATATAGGAGGTGTAGGGTCTCAAATAATTGTTGACATTTGTAAAGTGGGCCAAGAAAAAAGAATAATTGTGGGTGTGGGAGTTATTCCTCCCTCCCAATATTATTTTCTGAAATAGGTAGGGACACAGTCAAATAGGTAATAAGATAAAAAAAATTAAAGTGTCTCAATGATCTGAAAATGCATCTTTTTTATGAACGAAGTAAAATCTGGCCCATTTTGAGAAGCCTTCTGGAGACCAATTTAGATTTTTTTCTGTGATAAAAAGCCTCTTATAAGATTTAGCTTGACACTAAATAGATATAAGAAATGATAGTCATGTCTATGAGTCAGTGTATTGATATATTTGAGAATAAGTAAAGTACAAGTGCTTACAACTGATAAATTGAGTGATTTTTTTTTATCAAAACCTGGTTAAATTACAGGGAGTCTTTTTTTTCAATATACCGTGAGTTCGTTGATACAGACGGCGGCCACAGGTGCGGAATGTCCTCGTAGCTGTCTGACATAGAGGAGACGACTAAGGTCCCAGATGATACAGCAGCGGTCACGTGACCCGCTGACAATCACGTTGTAAGCCTGAGACGAGGCTAGACACGTCACTGTCTCCAGGTGACCAAACAATGGCTGTTTCAGCACCACCTTCTTCTCCTTGGGACGGTTCTCCCATACATTTACAACCTGTCACAATAGACATCAAACATTAATACAAGTTAAGGAAAAAACTACTATTCTCTTGCATCTAGAATTTAATTTACTTCACAATCTTTATTGGTTGCCCCATTTTGACAGGATTTCCTTTTTCTCCATCTTCCTCTTCAAAACAACACGTTGGTAATACCTAATACAATATTAAATTGATGCAAGAAGGACCACTTTTGGATAATGGATACATTATCTGATAATAATAAAATCTATTACCTGTAACTGAGTAAGATCGGGTTATCTCAGTCGAGTGTTAAGTTTCTGTAACAAAAAACCAACTGAGGCAAAGATTCTCACGCCTCGGTTGGGATGTTACAAAATCTTAGCCTGAGACTGAGATAACCCGATCTTGCTCAGTCACAGGTAATGGATTTTTTCTCTCGCACCTTTTAATTCGAAAAAATATATATATTCAATTTTGCTAAAAACTACAAGTATCTCGCCCCGGGCCTCAAATGATAATGACCACTTCACTACTTAAGCTATATTTGAATGCTTCCACATACAAATGTATTCCGTCCTTACATAGATTACAACATATTTCACAGTGTAGATTATATTTTATCTACAACACCAAACATCTAACAACATCAAAACTATACATATAACGACAAAATAGACATTTATAATGCTAATTGTCAATTTCAATCGGTAAATGCGTGGATGAATACATCGCAGTGTCATAATTCCACGAAATGTTTTGTAAAGGTACAAGACAGATCGGACGAGATAGAAAAATCTAGCAGTGGGTATGACGTGGGATACCTCTGTCTGAGTTGCGAGAAGGTATAGTCCATTTACAAAGATATGGAGATTAACATGAGTGTCATGTCACTGATAAAAACTGCTACTCTGAATCACTTTATTTTCACGTGAACTATAATTTGTGAACTCTCCTGTAGGTTCTATACTACAGATAGATTTTTTTGTGTAAATTTGTGAAATATTCAACAAATTCATGAGAAGTAGCTTTATAGTATTTCTGCTATAAACATGTGAGATGAACACTTACACAACTGGTACCGCCTGTGATAAAGATTTTGGCGTTAGGGCAGGTGGAACACAGAATCTCTCCATTGTCTAGCGACTCGTACACACTGATGGCCTGTCAACAAAGCAATACTCATTATAATGTTACAAACAATATAACTCCCCTTGAACGCCCAACAATCTGTTACAGAGCCTACATCTCGTCCACAGTACCAAGTTATGTTTCACTCAAGCCACTTCATTGTCTGATAATGGATTTCTTCAGGCCTGCATATTTCTTAATACACCTGCAAACATGCAAATTTTCTCCAGGAGATCTTAGAAGTTGCGACAATGACAAAGAATGTTATAAAAATTTAACAGCCATCCTCTCATTACAGCATCTTGTAAAACAAACTTTTCCTATCTGACCACACCTACCTTTTCTGACTCATAGTTTCCAATCCGTACACTTTGATCTGCAAATCCCCAGGCCAGGTATCGGTTGTAGATGGGAGGGATGAGGACTTTATTCTGTTCCACGGCCAGTACATATTTCTCATGTTGAATGATCTGGCCTACAGCACTCTTCAACTCTGCAAAGAACAATGTTGTGCTTATTTACTGCTGTAGTCCACCATAATGTTATGAATAACAATTTTTAATGATATAAGAAATAAATATACAATGTACCACTATTTTTAATGATATTAGCACTGTACCTTTAATAGTCTGTTTTGTGGGTCGGAGATTGTCGACATTGTGGAAAAATAATTTCTCCGCCATTGCTGCAGGTATAGATCCCATGGGAATAGGATCCAACAGTTTGATATTCAGGCGTTTTTGAGGATGAAGCTTCTTAAACAGCTGTAACAAATGAAATTATACCAGTTAATAATACCATCAAAACATCAACCTCATTTTAAATCAAATCATGATCATTCCTTCTTAAAAAAATATCTATTTTGAATAAAACATCTTGATTTAAAAGCAATTTTCACCCTTTGAAATCAAATTATTTCATAGAAAGTTTGCTCTTCATCAGTCATGGTGAGGAAAAATTAAGTAGATTCTATGTCATTCCATTTTGAATGACTGCATTTTTTGTTTTTGAATGATTATATGTTTATATGTTTTAGATAAAATCATTTCCTTTTGAAATGATTATGGAGTTGAAATTACTAGAAACTTTACCTGTTTGGGAATCTGGCCAAAGTTGTTGATGAATCCAATGGTGGCATTTCTCTTGAGAGGGTCGTCAATACTGTAGATGTCAACATTACCCTCGTAGAAGAGATGGTGGAACACATTGACAGCCTCTACGGCAGTCTGGCCCTGCTGTTTGTAGCCAAAGATCAGATCTATCCACTCATGGAGGTGGGCACTCACATAGTCACTCTCCAGAGCCTGAATAGGGAAAACTGTCAAATGAAGGGCAACTCAACACCTAACAAAACGGTCCTTGTCTAAACATTAATAAAATATTTATGATAATTTTAATATTAAAGTTTAATGACATACTGATGCATTACCTTGTCTCTATTCATTCAGACGCCATTAGCAGACCAAAATGTGAGTAACAAATACCGATACTTAAAACTTTATAGACATTTAGAAATACACACCGTATATAATCATTCGTGTTCACTTTCTTTCACAAAATTAATGTGCATTTCAAAATGATATCTTTGAAATCATTAACTCTTGCATTCTGCAGATACAGTTACACAGAGTCAATTTAAATTGTTCATATAAATGCTGTACTCGTATTTACATTGCTACTATAAATGAAGTGAAACTAAATGCACAATGAAAATTTAGTAAAACACAGTGGAATTTGATTTTGTAACGTCAAATATTGGCGAGTTCCATATGATGTCTTTCTAAATACAAAATGTAGTTTTATTCTATTTCACATACAAACATATAACAATCAATCTTTTTTTTTTTTTTTTTACAAAGGGCTGCCTATTTTTCACAAAATATATTTTAAGATACTGTTTAGAGGTTCAATACAGCTGCCTGCAAGGCTGGGAGTCAGACCTGCAACTTACAGCACACTGTAGTTTGAATGTTACAGATAGACTCTAGACCTCATGGTTAGTTAGTAGCGTAACCGCCCAGCAATGGTACAGTCATATCAGGCCTACGAGACCTCTAAGATGACCAGGACTGGTTTAGACCAATTTTTGGCGACCAACATACCTCTCTGTGGGCTCTGATGAACTCCCTCGAGTCTTCGCGCGCCCATGGAGGGAGTACGACGTCGTGCAGCTGGACACCACTCTGTTTACAACCTACATAAAACAGTGATGGTGTTATACATAAACAATCTGTTAACATTGACATTTCTTTAATAAAGAAATAAAGTGCTTAAGCTTCACTTAGAAACAACAACAAAATTGAAATTTGTTCTGAAGAAAACCAAAAAACAAATACTTACCCAGATCAAAATTATTTGTATTTTTTAAGAATTCAGGCAGATAGAAGAATTCTGGGATGAGCTCCTTTACGTCAGCCATGTTGTTTTTGGAAGCTGACAACCAGTTTTCTTTAACGCTGTGAAACATCCTGTCAGCTAAATCAAAATGTCCTCCCTAGTAACAAAAACAAATATTGAACACAACCGTTCCGGTGCATTTCTGCTACATCTACTGTAAATGACCTATAAATCACCCTATCTCAGATAAGCACACCCATTTATTTTCCAAAAGATAAATGTTAACTTATAAATGTGCCCTTGATTGCATGTCAATGACCTTATTTTATCAATGCACAAGTTGAATTTATAAACCATCAAAAATCCTTTAGTTGCTACATGTGTTGGCTTCATATTTTTCAATATGTATAAAACAGTTTTTTTAAATGTGCGGTAGCCTGGAAGACTTGTAAAAGGAGGTTAGTTACCTGGAGACTGAGGAAGTGTTGAGTGAAAGGTTCCATCCTGAGGAGGTAGGAGGCCACGATCATGGCCGACGAGTAGTGGGTCCCATAATGGTAGGGCGGTGTCTCTCCTGCAGGAATATACAAAGTGAACTTAGTAGTTCAGGCATGAAAGTAAAGAAACGTAGGATAATAAAATCCCTGTTATATTTTGTACTAGGCTGATTTAGTTTATATGTTATAAACAATCTAAGAGACTCGGAAATGTTCTGTGATAAACGAAAGCATTGGGAATAAAAAATGTCCGACCTAATACATGGTTACCATCCCTCAGAGATGTCTGTGTAAGAGATACGCCTCTAATTGGTTTTTCAATGTGGGAGATTTTGCATGACAGCAATTTATTAAATTAAAATGGTTTCAAAAGACTCATTTCATATTCAATAGATTATTAGTTGATAAAGTGTAATCTACCAAATTATTGTATGTCACACAGGCTAGTCAAATTATCTTGGACATTGCTGTAGTCAAGCCTCGTTAATCCAACCATCACTTTTGTGGTTGTCCCACTATCCAGCCAGCAGGAGGACTTTCCCTTTTAACAAGTGTCCCAGAAATCCAGCTGAAGTTGGCTTGATTAATGAGATTCAATAACAGATGAAACACCCACCTTGAGGGTCATCCCAATCCTGGTAGCGTTTCCTGAATTGCTTCAGCCGGTCAGGTGTCTGGGCCCCCATGGGTTTAGACAGATCGCGGAATGTCTCAGCCTTGTACAGGTCCAGTTCCTGTGAAGACATGCAATGTTAATGACAAAACTCGTTCTGTACAACATAACACATGGTTATTTTGACCACACTTATCGTGGAAAAAGTTCTTAGGATTTTTCCTGGACTCAATTGCTCATGAAAATGTCATCTGAGTGTAGTTTGTTATAAAAAGTTTTGACAGTACCAGCTTTTTACATGATGTTGCAGTTAATTAATGTAGTATAAAGGTACAACTAGCATATGATAGCCAAGTCAAGGAAAACGTTGTTGCATGTATAATATTTAACAGGAGTCAACATAAAATCTAATTTCCAATACATCTCCTCATTCGAAAATCATGTTTGAGACATCTATGATTTGGCGAAAAAAATCATCAATCTAAATTGATTCAGAAATCCATTGTAAGATTTTAAGATGTACCTCAAACATAAAAACTGCATCTGAAATAAATTTAATTGACCATATGTTGACCAAGTACATGTATTTAGCTTGCATCTCCCCTTTTTAATTGAAAGGCCTAGTTGACAGCCTACCTCTGAGTCGTAGTCAGCCACAATCCAGGGAAACACGGGGTACTGCATCAGGTCATTGTAGGATCGCCCGGCCAGTGTATTAAGATGCATCAGATACTGAAAGTTGTTAATCTCACCTCTCTGGGGGAACAGGAAAATGGTAATGAAATTTCATTCAGAATTTTTGGTAGAAACATCTAAAACTTCAATACTTTCATGTACATGGAAAGAAAACCGTCATCATTCACACAGTAACAGTTTGGTAAAACACAAAGAGCACAAGTCTCAAATATTCTTACTGTAACATGACCAGTTACTATCAATGATTTATTTCAGTTCCTTTCTCTTTCAGCACAAATAACAGTTAAATCGGATAATGAGAAAGCAATGAAAAATATGTCATTCACTGATGCTGGTGGCTTAGGGTAAAAGGTTGGATCTCGGTATAGTTAGTAACTTTAACAGTTGTTCCCATCTGATGAAGCTTCTCAGTTTTTGAGATTGAGAAAAAAACTTTTAACACATTTTCACAATTCTTATTTTATTTTATTACATTCTTTGAGTCATCTATCATATTTGAAAGGTACTTGTAGACAGTCAAATAGTTCCAATTTCTACCAGAATTTCTGAAGTTTTTCTGGAATAACTCCGCTAGATGATTAATACAACATGCAAATTGTGACAATAAATAGCATATTTCATTCACATTCTCAAAATTGAGAAACCAAATTAAGCAAGTTAGTACCATATGAATACCTAATACTTACTTCCCATCTTTGTGTGACAGATTTCTCACCAATCAAGTTGCTGATTAATCCAGATCTGTGGAAAATAATTATTACAACATCCATGATCTTCTCTATGATTACTATTTAAGTCCATATTGTCAACAAATAACAGGAACATTTTTACAATAAAGATACAAGAAGAAAATAAATAAATTTGATACAAGAAGAAAATATATAAATTTATGTAAATCATTTTTCTATTTCTCAATTGAAAACATTATCCCATAAATTCTGTTAAGATATATATTACAAATCTAAAAGAATGACATTATTATACCACTTTAAATTTAACTGATCTATGAACTTTTTCAAGTACATACCCTGCTTCCACCTTGGCACTGTGTTTCTGCCCAGACACAGACTGCTGGGCATTGTCTGTCATTGAGGTTGCCACTGCCATGAACCTGGGACACAGGAATAACAAAAGCCATGTAGGTTTTGTAAACTGTACCAGCTATTCTCAACTATGTTTTCCATGTTAACCATTATAGGTTACTGTAAATGGGGCTATTTTAACCACAGCCTATTTTAAGACTTTTTGTACTGATTCGAAGGTGCTAATCGATACATCAGGGATCATGATTGGAAAACTTCACAAATTTTATTTAGTATGGTATCATCGGCCATTGAATATGTCCTACTTTTCTGTGAAAAACATGGATCAGAATGTTCAGTACATGTAACACAAGTTGCCTCAGACAAACAGTCTACACCAAAGTTTGTATCATAGAAACAGTTTGTAAACATATAAGAGCTATTCCATAATTTATCGTATGGTGGAGGTGGGTTGTTGGGTTGTAACCAGATCTGCCTACCATTCCTTATATCAAATTGCTTTTAAGATTTTATGGGTGGTTGGGTCTCTGAAAATGTGTCTGCCACCCCTTTCCTACGGTTGATTATGGAAAAGGCTTAACCATGAATAAAAGTACCAACAAATGTTTCATGCAGTTTATTTCCCTGGTCAAAACTTACTTTGCATAAACTTTGTTCCTGAGTTTCCGTGGGAATGCTAATAAGTAGTTTCTTCCGTCCGCTGAGAAGAATTCCACTGCTATGGGCTGTAATAAATACCTCCGCTTGTGGACCTCTCGTATATCTTCATGGGCAAACTTGCTACATCTGCAAACAAAAATATTTTGTCATTAAAAATGCATTTAGGGTGGTCGAGTGGTGCAGTGGAGAATGCACTCGACTTTTAGCAAGACGGCCAGGGTTTGATTCCCCTATCAGAGGTGGAAAGGTACTGGGTCACCTGCCCGACCATGTGGGTTTTCTCCAAGTACTCTGGTTTCTCCTCACATCAAGACCCCCCACACCCCACACGCCAACATCAGGGCCAACAAGAGTGATTTTATTTTTGTGTGGTTCTGATTTAAAATATACATGCTTGCAGTGAAAATAATAATTGTAAAGTTCAGTCATATTTATAGAAAAACTTATTTTATGTTTCTGAAGATAGGACTTTTTTGATTTTCTGTGAAACCAAGACTGTCAGTTCAGTGAATCTGTTAGAACTTACATTCGTATCTGTGTACCTGTGCCTTTTGTGCTTTTTGGGATGATTGGATCATGAAGACTGCAAGTACAAAAACAAAATATAGCTATAGATAAACAATAAAGATAACATCAATCACTTGAAAATGATACATAAATAATTTGAAATAGTTGTGAAACTATCTTCCTTTTAGGAAGTAAAATTTTACAAGGCCATATATAAGACATTTAGAATGTGTTCTTTCACCTACAACATCTAAATTTTCATATAAATGAGGAATGATGTAACAGCCCATCAATGCAAAACTGTAATTCAGACCAGAAAATAGATTATACAACTCTCTCTACTAGTACAAGTTAATGTTATATAGATTATACAACTCTCTCTACTAGTACGAGTTAATGTTACATAGATTATACAACTATCTCTACTAGTACAAGTTAATGTTATATAGATTATACAACTCTCTCTACTAGTACAAGTTAATGTTATATAGATTATACAACTCTCTCTACTAGTACAAGTTAATGTTATATAGATTATACAACTCTCTCTACTAGTACAAGTTAATGTTATATAGATTATACAACTCTCTCTACTAGTACAAGTTAATGTTATATAGATTATACAACTCTCTCTACTAGTACAAGTTAATGTTATATAGATTATACAACTCTCTCTACTAGTACAAGTTAATGTTATATAGATTATACAACTCTCTCTACTAGTACAAGTTAATGTTATATAGATTATACAACTCTCTCTACTAGTACAAGTTAATGTTATATAGATTATACAACTCTCTCTACTAGTACAAGTTAATGTTATATAGATTATACAACTCTCTCTACTAGTACAAGTTAATGTTATATAGATTATACAACTCTCTCTACTAGTACAAGTTAATGTTATATAGATTATACAACTCTCTCTACTAGTACAAGTTAATGTTATATAGATTATACAACTCTCTCTACTAGTACAAGTTAATGTTATATAGATTATACAACTCTCTCTACTAGTACAAGTTAATGTTATATAGATTATACAACTCTCTCTACTAGTACAAGTTAATGTTATATAGATTATACAACTCTCTCTACTAGTACAAGTTAATGTTATATAGATTATACAACTCTCTCTACTAGTACAAGTTAATGTTATATAGATTATACAACTCTCTCTACTAGTACAAGTTAATGTTATATAGATTATACAACTCTCTCTACTAGTACAAGTTAATGTTATATAGATTATACAACTCTCTCTACTAGTACAAGTTAATGTTATATAGATTATACAACTCTCTCTACTAGTACAAGTTAATGTTATATAGATTATACAACTCTCTCTACTAGTACAAGTTAATGTTATATAGATTATACAACTCTCTCTACTAGTACAAGTTAATGTTATATAGATTATACAACTCTCTCTACTAGTACAAGTTAATGTTATATAGATTATACAACTCTCTCTACTAGTACAAGTTAATGTTATATAGATTATACAACTCTCTCTACTAGTACAAGTTAATGTTATATAGATTATACAACTCTCTCTACTAGTACAAGTTAATGTTATATAGATTATACAACTATCTCTACTAGTACAAGTTAATGTTATATAGATTATACAACTATCTCTACTAGTACAAGTTAATGTTATATAGATTATACAACTATCTCTACTAGTACAAGTTAATGTTATATAGATTATACAACTCTCTCTACTAGTACGAGTTAATGTTATATAGATTATACAACTCTCTCTACTAGTGCAAGTTAATGTTACAGAGTACACATACTCTGGAGGTAGACTGTCGATGTCACGAATCTCGCGTGTCCTCAGCATAGTAAAACCGTCTATAACGTAGAAGTGTTCCCGGCCAAACAGCAGCAGGCCTTCTGCTGTATCTAAGCCCAGTATTCGTGCACATCGGAAGATGTTGGTTATCTGTCAGCGAATAAATTGAGATAAATAAATAAAAAGTCCCCTAATTTAAATAGTATAGATAATAAACAAAAATCACTTGAAAACTAACCATAACGGAGAAAAAAATGAATGGAATATTTTTGAAGGGATAAACTTGGTGCAACATTATTTAGTCTGTATTACAACAGCTATTCAGTTGACTTAAGCTATGTGTTTCAGATATCATTATAATAAGAAATGTGTGCTACTTTTGTTCCAGATATATAGTGTCATATAATCTAAATACCAAGAATACTACTTCAATACAGTGTCACTTGTAGTTTTTATTTTAGGCAATTTCTTATTGCAAGTATTAAACTTTCAATTTTCCAAAGCAAACTTACTCAGTACTACATATCACTGTAAATTTCATTGATTTTTACTTTGTAACCCTAACTGGTACACTATTAACCAACTTCTTAATCTACCTTTATGTTTTTTATACTATGTTATATAAGCATATAACTATGTCAGATTATATTCTTTGCTATATAAGCATGGATGTATGTAAGGCAAATGCCATTTAACTGACGAAAACCTTTTGCATGAAACTATGCATTCTGTGGTATTTTTTTAACCAAGATAACTGTGATAAAATCTTAGAATTAATTTTTGTGTAAAAAACTAAAAAATATCTTTTAACTAATTAACACATGTATATAACTTACAAGAGGATCATGTAGAAGATTAGCTTTTTTTTTTAGCTAAGCATGTATTTTATCCTCAATAAATCTAGTAATCATTCCTACTTTAACCGTCCCTGTGGCCTCACCTTCTCGCCTTCACCGAGGATCCTGAGGATGGTCTGGTTGTTGTCTGATTTTCCCCCAGTGTGCACCTCTGTTACAGTCTCACCAGCATTCTCCTGACTGTCTGGTTTGTCCATGTCGCCCTCCGTTGTTGACTCGTCAAGGTCATCATCAGGCTCAGATGTTTTCGGGCCACTTGAACGTGGCAGTAGCTTGGGCATGCTCAGCATATCTTCATGACAATGGGAACAGTGGTAATTGTTAACTTATATACCTTCGATCTTGATTATCATAAAGGCTAAGTTGTTTTGAACACAAACAGGAATTGTCTGTTTCCTTTGTCAAGCAAAGAGTGTAAAATAATTTTATTCATACCAAACTGATGAATTTTATTCTGAATCGTGTTTGTCCATAAGGAAACAGTGATTCCATCTGTCAATGAAATTTGTTTCTTTATAATTAATGTCCCTGAAAATAATTCTTGTCATTCATATCTTTAAAAATGCTTTTGTATTTCAACAGAATATAGACCTAACTGATATTTTAGGCGAATAAGCTAACTTTAATCTTTTGAAAATTCATAACCTTGAATATTAATTTAAATTAAAGGTAATACATTTTTCTTCCCAGAAATTAATATAAATACATACGAAAATCTTGCATTGGAAGATGATATCTTAAGATCAACATTGACATGCCTTTGTTACGACACTTACCCACTGGAGAGCTGTCGTAATCCTGTCCGCCTCCTGAATTCCCCGTCAGTCCACTATCAACACCCATCTGGATGGGAAGTATCTCCTTGCCATGCTCTACCAAGGTCTGTGGCCGGTACCGCTCATAGTATTCCTTGCTATCAAAGCTCATAGCTACCTTGTACTTCAGGGGCTGAAACACCAGACAGCAAAACAATGACATAAAACCTTTAATATATGATGGGGTGGCAAAGTGGATAGTATACTAGCCTTACACCAAGACAGCCAGAGTTCAATTTCCTGACCAGACGTAAAAAGGTATGGGGTCACCTGTCCGAACCACATGATTTTTCTCCAGGTACTTTGGTTTTCTCCCACATTAACACCCAGTTTAAGTTTTTTTCTGGTCAGTATACATATTCATCAATGTGCAAATTCAATATGAAAATATGCAAACTGTTTCAAAACTTTGAAAAATGTCTCAAACATTTGGCACTTGAAGATCTCTGGAAGAGGGGGAGAATCGCAACTAACTAACCTTTTTTCAAATTCTTCACACAATTTGCATATTTTCATATCTGATCATTCGAAGATGTTGGCAGTAATAATTTATTTTAGATTTTTTAATTTCGTCCATCCTTATTTCCCAAAGTTTATTTCAAATTTAAAAAGGTGCATGTACTTGAAACATGAAAATTGTTTAAAAATGAGTTTTTCAGGAATGGACTCTATTCGAAAGCATTTAATATCCATTCAAGTCCCAAAAAATTGTCTGAATATGGTGCATTTTACCTCTGAGTGAATATACTGAGGGCCTCAGTGATATTTACAGATAAATATACAAGTATAAGATTGAATTCATAAGAAATTAGAAATATGTTAACAAAATTTCACACTCACACTGTCTTCCATGTCAGGTCTGTAGGGGTAGTGTTGAAAGAAGATATCATTCTTCACCATTTTCTTCCTCATACGACATGGACCTGCAGAACAACACATTTCGTTTTATCCTTTTTTTCCAAACAGGTCAGTTTAAATGTAAACATACAAACAGGCTACAGGCGAAACCTTTTCAATATTAAATATGTTATTGTTTATTTCACAAGTTAAAAAATTTATGAATAAATCTTGTATTATCAAAATGATAAGAGCAAATGGCGAAATGAAGTAATTCAGGGCATAGAAGCAATTCAACTTTCATAAAATAGTTTTTAGATTTGAGAATGAATCTATTACAGAGTATCAGTCTTTAGGGTTAATAAGCGTTCAACTCTGTAATAGTAAAACCTAAACCTATGCTGCCAAACCCTCTTACTAGGGGAGATAACTCACCTTCAGTCATATCCGACTGCCACTTGTCCAGTCGACCTCCCAGGTGTGGCCCCCACAAGCCCTTCTCTCGTAGCAGTTCTCCCTCTGTCTGGCTCCACTCCTCAGCAAGGTATTTTGCCATATGTTCTTGACCCTGAAGAATGTTAATAAACTCATCGTTATATTTAACGTAGACTATGCTCTTCAATATTATGCGTCAAATTTATTCATCAATTAGAAATCTTCAATTACCAACATGCAAGCATCTTTTAAATTAAGAAATATTATCTATTGCTTCTATAACAAGTTTTTTAACTTTCAATATGATTTAGACCTCAAGATTCAAAATCACCATACCCCAAGGGAGATCTAAAACCAACGTCAGATGTAAGGCTAATTGGATCCGTTAAGGAAACAGTCAAAATATTTCATGACATGCAAAATAACTTCAAGCAAAAATTATCCTGAAAGACTTACATGTATATACTGCTGAAACTGAAGCTCAGACAAGTCTTTGACTATAGCCATGTGTGTGAGTGTCCAAGAAATATAGTCCTGCAGAAACAATAGGAGGATACACTGTACAACATGACATTTGTAGGTGGGCTTTTTCAGCTATGTTTAGAAAAAAATCTTGAAAATTTATCACTTGAAAAAGTGTGAAGATTTGTGAGGTATTCAACATACCAAAATATTCAATTAACCAAAGTCCAAACTTTCACCAACAAAAGAAAGATATAACACAGCTTTATTATAGAGTGTAACACTTTTGAAAGGAGATTCATATCAATGAAAGGTAGCATATCACCTTAAGGAAATGGTGAATTGTGTGTGAGATACTCACAGTCATGTGAACATTAGATGAGGGGGAGGACTTGAGAGGCAGCTCTTTCTTCTTGGTTCTTGTTGCAAATCTTAGCATACCACTGCCAACCTTCTGTAGTTTCTGTCAACATAACATCACAAACACAATAAGACAAGCTCTCAGCATGCCAATCTTCCAACCTTCTGTATTAATTTTTATCAAATTAACAAAATCACAAAACAACATAAAAGACAAAAAGTTTTACATGTATTAGTTTACATGCAAACAAATCTTGGCATGCAATATTAACAGTATTTAAAATCATAATTTATGTTGTGCTCATTTGGTAGTTATCAACTACATTTTAAATTCATACTCCAGAAGAAATGTTCCCAAGTATGACCTTTTTAGCTCGGAACAAACAAAACAAATCTGAAAATATATGGATTTAATCATAATACAAAGTGTAAAATAACTTAACACTGTAATAATTACTGGGAAATCACTCATTTCGAGGTGTTTTTTATTTCGTTGATTTCGTAGGCACTCATTATCTACAAATTCATAGGTCCATGAAGTAGTTACAAGTTTGACATAAAGCTTTTCTCCATATGAGTGGGTCCACATGACCCACAAATTCATGAACCAAAGAAATTTTGATTTTTTTTAGGAAACCACAAAATTTGGGCCCCCCTGAAAATATATGATTTCACAGTAATTGATTGGTAAATGCTATTACTGTATTGTATCAGGTAACTTTTGGCCAGTCAAATTTTCGCCCTTCGCCCACGATATCAGTTTTTGCCCAGTGTTAATTTTGTCTGTAATATTCAATTACTATGTTATTTATATTTTCTGTAATGATAAATTTTCCATTATTATGAATGGCGGAAAGGCGAAAACAAAACTTCAGCGAAAACTTCTTGGTACACAGTACCTCTCTTAAACAAATAACACAGGGACTTACTGATTGTATTTGAGCTGGAAGTCTCTCTGTATAGGAAACGTTGCCCTTTCTCTCCGAGTCAGCATACCCTATCCACACCTTGGAGGCACTCTCCTGTATCAAACCCCTAAACACACAATACCTTAACATTATCATTTCGTCACAAAAATATTTTTGCATTCTTTATAAGCAGACATTGTCATAACATAATTGAATTTGTGAATGGAATTCACAAATATTTTTAAAGACGAAAAGAGTTAACGATGCCTTGGCCATCTACTTATTACAGGTATTTCACACAGAAAATATAACAGCTAGCAGTACCTTAAGTTTTTATCTTGTAGAGCTGATGATCTTACCTAACAGAGTTGAGATCTGGAGATGTTATCTTTGCGCTAGATGGGTCCATGTTGTTCAGCTGAGTTTTAAACACTTCTTCAAGCACCTAATCCAGGAAGACGAAGGAAAAATTACATTTTAAAAGATATAAATTGCAAATCATAGGCTGATATATCATCAATATATACATACCTTTAAAAAGACAGTAAAAGGATACTTTTATAAAAAATAAAAAAATGACTTAACCTTTTGAAAAGACATACAGTTTCTCCCATACAGGTGTTGTGATGTAATTTTTAACAGGCCTTAAACACCATCTATACAAAAATTTCCACATACCGGTTTTTTACAGGCATACAACTCCTCCCAGACACGTTTGGCTGCATTGGCCACCAGGTGGTGCCCTTCTATGACACTGGAACTGAGCTCCATGCAGGCAAGGTCTGCCACCTCCTCTGTCAATTCTTCGCCTTCCTCCATGTTAACGTGCCACGTTGTACGCATAGCCTTACCCCCGTGTAGGTTGGAAGCACTGAAACAGAGGCCAAACATATTTGACCCTTTCAAGTGTGTTTCTAACTGATCAAAGATAATTTCTGATTATACAAATTCAGTAAAGAGGTTTCTTTCTTGGTATGCAAAGCAATTGATGCTTACATGATCTGCTTAATGACAATTTCCTAAAGAAGATAGTTACGGAAAAAAACATGGTAAACACCTATATAATGGCCCTCATTTCATTTCCTACCTTGCTTACCATCAGCATGTTTCAAGTTTCTCCGAGCTGTTTTCTTTTCACAAATTCCTTCATATATTTCCCTCAATATACCAATATACCACATTATAATCCCAGAAGGCTGCTGGATAAAGGGGTTCTTTCCGCAAATTGAGAGGTTTATGTGAGAATGTTTCAACAATGACTTCTATAATCCAAGGACACCGTAAAAACCACTTATAGCTTGGTTTTTAAATTTCCTTGTCTATACCTTCCAATGATGCCTATTTTACTGCTTCTGACATCATACCTACTGCAGAAGTGAGAGTTTGAAAGACAAGATCAACACGGTTATCAATGTTGACCAGTCATTTACTTCTGGACCTTGATTTCAAGTACACTGACCACACTGTAAATCTGGATTTACATTGTTTATGTGTTTGTTAGCACTTTTGCCTTTCATTTGAATTTAAATTCCAAAACAATTCTAAAACATTCAGTTTTTAAATGTCCTAACGTTTTTGACTTTTTGTTCTTTTTTATCAGCAAATGATAGAAATGACTTGTTTGAGTCTTGCATTTTTTATATTTCTGCTTTCCGATACTTACAAGTCATTCATTGATTATCAAAATTATCCTAAAACAAAATTTGCTAAAAGCTTGCAAATATTTGAACATTTTCAACCATATTACATGTAATCTGATGACAACCTGATTATGACAGACATAGAATGTACGGTGCAAACCTTTCACTATACCCACCTTACCATGCTGACTTACCCTTATGTAGATATGAGGTACTGAAATGACAATACCACTGACGGTCATTCAATAACAGCTCAGTCCGTTTACCCTACCATAACCATGGAAATGGAAGTCACCTGCCCAATACTACTTTTGTGATTGTGTTTTAAACAGTTTATTTACATGAACTTATATTTGTAGATCATCCCTACTTGTGAATTAACGTGAAAATATATATCAGATTTCAATTATTAACATAAGTTAAATTTTGTGACCATTTTAACCCTTTTCATACCCAAAATAATCACAGTTTCTTGAAGAAGTCTTGCTTTTCACCTCAAATATCTAGATCTTGACTTCTAATAGAAATTCATCATCACTTTGAATCGGATACCACCTGTCCTATATAAAACAGTATCCTATCACACATAGACAAAGTGTACCTCTGGCTGGGGTCCTCTGTGAGCTGGAGTAGACAGTAACACAGACACACGAGGAACTCCTGGTCATAGTTGGCTGGCCCGAATACCAGGCCACGGTTACTGGTCAGTTTGTGGAGAGCGTCCAGGACTATGGTCTGTACGGCCATTGACTGTACAGGCCGGGACAGTTGGAACAGCACGGTCCGGTTCAGTGACCGGTATATCAGATCAAGTGAGATTCCTGATGCTGAAATGACAAGTTTGCAAGTCAAAAATCCCATGTGCTGTGCAAAGTTGCCATTTATATGTAAATGTTGTTTTTGCATGGGCTTCCCAGTTATCCGGTGATAATCTGATTTGAGTTCATTTAAGTTTTCATAACAGCGTTGGGTTATAAGTATTTTTAACAAGTTGTGATAAGGTCCGTAAAAGTGGTTAACATTTTTGATAATTTCGCTGGTGTTTAGAATTCGCGAATATATGTCAAAGCGCAAATATAGCGAAATTAATACCCCTGCGAAATATAACCCCTGTACAGTAACATGTTTCAAATATTGACTATTAGAAAATACCTTGGTAGTACATAGTTGATCTAGATAAGTTTGTTGAAACAAATCAAAATGATCTTATATGCAATCGTTCTTAAATATAAGCACTACGACAACATAAGTTTTCCAGTACATGGATTAACAAAGCTTCATTGAATTTAAAAAGTTTATAACGCAGCTGCAGTTATCATTATCAATGGAGAGCCTGTGCCTTTGAAGGATGCCAGTCCTTCACAAGATTACTTTCCAGCATTCTGGTACCTATTTGTACAACTGGGTAGACAAGAACAATCAGGGTTAAATATCTTGTTCAAGGACACACCAATAGTATTTATTAACCGCTGCCAGTATGGTTTGAACATACAATGTCGCAGTCTTAAGACCAACTAACTACCAACTATGCTAAAACTCTGTACTTGTATCAACGTGTTTACAAAATGTACAATTACTTACCTTTGCGTTTGGCCTGCTGGATCAGCTTACTGATGAATTCAAATACTTCCTTTGATTCCCGTGTGAATACATCTGTTAAAATGAGATGCATGTGAATGGTATTGTGGATGATCAGTCAGTTTCATTTGCAGACTTCAATATCAAAAACAGACATTTTCGTTCCCTCTAGTAATGTTTCTTTTTCCCGCCAAAAAAGTCACACGATTATTGTAAAACCTTAACAAACAGCAGTTCTTATAGACAGTACACTTCTGAAAAGATTTTTGCCCAAAAAATACTTTTTTCTTCATTAAAAAAATATCTTGAACATTTCTGAATGGAACAGTTTACCAGACAGATTGGTTTCCTATCATGAAGACATACAATCTTTGCCTTCTGCGACTTGAAATGAGTTTATCATACATAAACTTCACAAACAAAACAACTGCCTGATGTCATGTGAATATTACACTGTTTATAGCAAGGAATATGGTATCATTTTGTAAACAAATTGTGCTACACATTGGCTATTGAATTCCTCAATAGGAAAACTTTTACATACCTTATATATATATTAGCCTAAAGGTAGCACACTGAACTTCAAACTTTCATATTAATGTTTTCATGCAAGAGTAAACTCTAGTGCTACAAATAGCTTTAGTTACTAGAGTGATACATACTCTGCCACAGTTTGTCGACAAGTCGACTGGCAAAGTAGAAGACATTGCTCGCCATGTTGGTGTAGCTACCACCACTACCAATAGGCAAGGCTGCCTGGTCTCCCAGTAACACATCAGCCGCCACCAAGTGTTCCATCACTGTCTTCATGATTTCTGTCTGGTACTCCTTCCTCTGTGCCCGCGACGCATTCTCAGGGGATGCCTGTTACACATGGATAGTATTATATACAGTACATCACCTTGTTACCGGTTAGAGATAAACAATTTATTCTAATTAAGTGAGGCATAACAGTTTCTGGTATTTTTTTCAGCTGCAAAAATCGAGAAGTTACCTTGTTCAAAGTTCAACTAATATGGTTTGATATTAAAGATAGTTTAAAAAAATTACTATTGCTGATTTACACACATTGACTTTGTTTTAAAAATGTTGATTGTGATTATAAAATAATTAGTTTCTTTTTGTTATATGTTTAATATTGTATTAGAACACTAAACACATCATTGGATGCAGTACTTTTACTACAAAGTTTACTGCAACAAGTTTCCATGCTTGTTGCAAGATAGAAATTCAAACAATGAGATCTGGCATACTACGGTATAACAGAAACATTTTTGGATGCTTTCTTTCACAGTTTTTACAACATATTTTATAGATACGTTATTTGTGGTGTTGGTATCTTTAAATTTAGTCCTATATTCCATGTATTGATGCTAATGATTCCTATGTAACTACAAAGACTGTGAAAGTAAATCCACATTAAAGTTTAACTCAGTCACCCCTGAAATTTCATAATGAACTATTCCTACCTTTGAAATGGAAGAGTTCAAATGTGTCTTCAGAGGTGAATGAGTTAATGTTGAATGGTATGTTAGAAATATCAAGACTTACATCAAGTATGACGTCCATTATGACGGTGGACTTGGACGACATCTGCTGGGAGAAACTGTCTATCAAAATGGTCCGCAGGAAGTCAATCACAAACTTACGGGCAGAATGTCCTGTCAGAAAGCCTACAACACAATTTAACATCTACGTTACAAGGGAATCTTAGGCTACATTTGCGTACCCCTGTTGAAACGGTACGTGTGGCGCAGAAATGTTCCACGATAAACGAACGCACTGGGACCGTTCTATAAGCAGAGCTAAAAATGCACAGTTCCGGAGAATAAAACACAATGTATCAAGAATATTATGCCCTTCTTTTACGCGTCCACTGAATTACATAATGTATCTTAAAATCTATATGTGGTTTGACATTGTTTTAGAAAGAAATAACGCAAACTACCAATACTCAGCATTTTAGTTTCGGTCAGGTACGTCTGGACCCCTCAATCTACACATGCCAAATTTTCCTGAGGTCAGCCTCGGTCCAGATATGTGCCTATCGTTTTCTTTACAGGTTTAACCAGTTCAACCGTTTCAACCGGATACGCGAATGTACCCTTAATGTCATGTTATGTGAGGCAGGATTCTTTTAACTGTAGCATGATTAAGGAACCCTGTCCCACTACACCGTGTTTTTCTCTTATACACAGTTACCTCCCCCTAACTTCCATTAGGATATAACTGCAGCACAGTTGGGCAAGAACACCTCCATTGACGTTGTAGTGCAATCGCTTAGAGAGATAGTATAACAATCTGAAGTCCAGTGTTCAAATGCTGGTCTAGCCCAGCTGATAATCTTTTAAAACTGTTGATGATTAAATTTTGTTTATTTCATCTTTATTATTTCTCAGGAAAGTCCCAAAAGGTATGGTTTTCTTTTGAGAAATGATTTATCAAAGCCATAGTCATGCTGGAAAAACAGTTTTAAACATTTAGTTACAGTTTTTGGCAGTGTTATGGGGATCCTTAATATCTGAATGTCTGTTCTTTAAAAGAATGATGTGTTTTCACTCAAGATACATGTAACAGACTGGGTGGTTGGAAGGAGAAGCAGGTAATGCACTCGCCTTTCACCAAGATGTATAGATGACCGTGACAATATCATGCTGGGCATAACTCCAATCCAGGTTAATTATACCTGCGTTTTTGTATTTTGATTTGTTCTGATGATGACACGCCTTATGTGTCGAAACTAGTCAACATAAACTTGGACTAAAGCTGTTAAACCCAGCACGATGTTGTCATGGTCATCTTTACCTTTTGATTACTCTATTATTTATGGCCAGACTCGTGTATTCCTTATGGAATCCATCTGCTGTGTAACACAGAATGTTGAAGGAAACAGGAGTAACCCAAATCCTTGGGTAGACGACCCATATCTTTTCACGTCCGATCGGGGAATCAAACCTTCGCCGCCTTGGTGAAAGGCAAGTTTGTTTTCCACTGAGCCACCCGACCACCCTAACATAAATAAAGTTTATAGACTAATGTCTCCTCACCAGGTTTGTATTTTTCAGGCGTGCTGATATTGACAAAGGACTCTGAGTCAGGGAAAGGTTTAAACTCCTCTGTCGGTGTGGTGACGTTTCCTCCGTCAGACTCGATGATCAAGTTGGGGAAGAGAGTGGCTGCCAGACTGCCGATGAGTTCTGGTGATGAGGACAGTGTGATGAACTCCGGCTGGTTGTGATACAGAAACAACAGAAACTGCATCAAGGTCACAGGGTACTCTTGAACCCAGTTGTCCTTCTCCATCTCCACATCCTGTAAAATAAAGGTCAATTTTAAAGTCAAGGACACGGAGTCTTCCTCTTACAAATTAAATTGCACCTTAAATAACTTAAAAGTCAAGGTCACTAGGTCTTTCCTTTCTAAAACATTGCATCCTGCAAACTGAAGGTCAAAAGTCAATGTCAAGGTCACAGGGTTTTCTTCCTAATTCCATGTCCTGTAAATAATAGGTCAAGGTCACAGAGACTTCCTCTATTTCATATGTATATACATGTTATTGTGTATCCAACAAATTAAAAGTCAAGGTCACAAGGTATTCCCCTTCTCCAACTCCTCATACCTTAAATCAAAGGTTAAAAGTTCAAGGTATTCGAGGTTGCAGGGTTCTCCTTCTCCCAAACACCATATTCTGTATTGTTTTTGTAAATTTAAGATCAAAACTTAATTTTAAATTCCACCATTTATTTTTTGTAACGTATCAACACTAAGAATATGTCTATACAGTGTCTATACAGTAAAGATTGCAAGTCTACTACTATAAGTCCTCATGTTTTCACCAAGTACTTACCAGGTTTAGCATGTTCCTGATCATGGACATGATGACCAGTGCGGCATCAGGACACAGCTCTGTGTGTTTCTCCTTAGCTACTATAGACACAGGCTTGCTAGCTGGCACACCAAATATCACCGTCCATACAGCATCGAGATTCAACTGTAAATATATACAAAACCTCAATAAACATTCCACATGATATCAACATTCAACTGTAACTCTTAGGTACATTTCATGAACACTTGGTCATAACTGGATGGACAGGTGGACAACTTGACTATTGGTGACAAGACTGACATCACTGAATATCTTTGATTTTGTGACATATTATTTCAAATTTTATGGAAATAGTAACTTTAAGATTGTTTTAATCTTAAAGTGTTACTCAGTTCACTTCGGTGTTGTGCAAAAAAGTTATGATGTAATTTCCAAAATACACATGAAGTCATAACATTGTGACTTTGTATGGAATATATCAGATGTGACGTCAAATTGGCGATGTAAACAAGTTGAAGATGTCCATAGATTTTTTTTATTTTTTTTAAAGTCTGCATACATTCTTTATTGTAAATGCTTTCTGGTTTCAGGAGATTTAAATATGAACTTCTAAACATGTTTCAGAAATCTTCTATGAAACAGAAACTCACTCAATATCTATAAAAGAAAAGGATTTATAACACTTTAAAGTAAAACAATAATGCAGTATTCAGCAGTATGAAAGAACTTCACACCTGGCAGTCAGTGGGTAATTTGGTGACCTGTTGCCCTAGTAACAGTGCCATCAACAGGAAGTAGACTTCGGGTACGTGACTGTGTTTGGGAAGCAGCCATTGTAAGGCATTAAAGCCTGGTACACGACAGATCTCTTTATTCAGCTCTCTCTTCTGACCACCCTTACTGTTGGTGCCAATATTTAACCCTGTGTATAGAAAACAATATCAAATCATTGATAATGAATTTAAATTCATCAATACAAACCAAAGAAGATCGAAGCAGTGTTTTTCTTCCTTTCCCCCCTTCTTTATCTTATTTGAATTTTTCTTCTCTCTAATTTGACTTTATTGAATATTCAACCACAACTTTTCTATTTTCAATTCAAAAAAAATAAATTTGTATGAAATGTTGGAAAATATTTGGCCTAAACATGTTTTTCTCTGTTTTAACCATCTTTTTGTCTTTGCAGCAATGTAAATTGTATTTTTTTTCATAATTCACCAAAGCCATTAAATTTTTTATCTTACGATTGTCTTCACAACAGCAATAGTCATTTGAAGACAAAAACAGTTTATAATATTTACTTATGAATTATGTATCCAACATCATAATGATCCTTAAAAATTAAATAACATGAAGTGCAACCAGCATTCTAACCTAGCATGACTCCAACATGTTGCTTGAGAACGGGCTCGGTGTTCCTTAGCCAGCCCCCGCCTGGATTGCCTTCCCTAAACCTTTGCACTGCTAAAGGATTCTGTAACATCACCAGTAGGATACGAAGAGCCATGATGACTGTCGACGGGTGGACATGGCCTTGTACAAACAGCAGCAGCCAATCAAATCCAAGCACTTTCTGTATTTCTTCACACATCCTGAAACAACCCCAAGAATTTATAAATATTGCACCCAAAAGTCGCAAAAAAACAATTTTGATTGATATCAAGCAAGGAATATCTGTATTTACATATTAAAATGCAAATAAGTTTTACCTTGTCATTTTTAGTGTCTTAAAGAATGAAGGACAACATTTTGCTGAAGATTCTCCACTTATTTGAACTTTGACCCAGAGGCAAAGGTAACTGTGACATAACAGTGCACAGCACACCTTCTGCAGGTGATGTAGTTCAACTTTAACTGTTTAAAAGTTATGGCTCAGATATAACACCAGGCCATAATCCTATTGTTTACTCAATAAAAATATGATGAAATGAAAAATATGATGAAATGAAATAACTCATTAGTAGAAGAACCAGTGCTTAATACATTAATGTATCTTTCTTCATTCAAAAGAGAGACGTAAGGCAGGATACTGACTGTGTATTGACAGGAGCTGTGCTGCTGTCCTGTAGCAGTCGCAGGATAACCTCCAGACAAGTGTTCCTCATCTTAATCAGGTACACCGTCGTCTTCTCTACATCTCCCCCTGAAAATAAGATCAAAACTTTATTTTCTTCAAATTTTGATCAAATGAACAATGTGGTTTTCCAAGAACTGATGGTAAGTAATCATGTTCATGTAATTCAATTCAATTATTTCCAAACTTGATATATTTTCTTTTTCTAAACATGACAACTGATAGTCATGAGTTGGTAACCCTTTTTCCCCCATAACATTTATACATGTATTTTAGAATCATTTCCAAACCAGTCTTCAATTGTGATAAATACCTCTGTAAAATGTGACATCAGACATGGGTAATACTGGAAGTGGTCACATGACTTAGGAATGAAGAAAGCTAGTAAAGTCTTAATATAATGCCCTTTGTTTCATTTGCTCCTCATATTCGACCTAAATATTTCAATGTGCCATTTTCATTAGATTGTTTTTAATTTCTTTATATGTCTCACTCGATATAATGCTAAAGCCCTTTATGATGCCAAAATTTTACATGGCAAAATAGAAAGATTTTATTTCAGTGGTTGTGTGAGAAATAAATAAATCTTTTGAAGATTTGATTAATAATTGCCACAATGTAGCTAGTGGTGAAGATGTGTAAATACCTGTAGAGGTGTCTCCCTGTGAGGCAGGTGCACCCTTTGTCTGGTTGACCCCATTGAGGACAATGTTTTTCTCTGTAGAGGACATCTGAGGTAGTGTGGACACAATGAACTGACCAAGTCTGTAATCATACAGGTAAAATCAACATGACACATACCGTCCAACAACCAGCAACATGTAGTAGGGATAACAAAGGACAACATCTTCAAGATTGTTTCAAAGAAATCACGATAGGTTCCATGTTTTGGCTTCTTAGAGAAGAAGTCTTAGACAGAACAAAAAAAGAACTTCAAAAGTGGAAACCTGTACAGTTGAAATAATTCTTTGCCATCAACATGTGCCTAAGTAAGCTGGAAGTTATGCCAGAGTAAGCTGATAAAATGAGCCTGTAGTAGTCATACCCTTAACTTGGGACAAACTATTAAAGCATTCTTGGACAAGCCATTAACTTATTAACTTGTAATCATATTTTTTATCTTTTTTGTAAAAAATGGTGTAGATGTATCAGATATATCACAGTAAATTATTAGGATGTTTGTGAGAAAATCATTCAGATTCTTCCAAGTAAAATGTGAAAACTTTCCTAAGGAAGTCAACAAAACATTAAGGCAAACCTAGGTAAACTCTTTAAGATGTACCTAAGTAGAATATTAAGACAAAGACAGTTAGACATATCTGCATAAAACATTCAGACATACTTGCATATGTCTTTAATTTATATCTGTGTAAATCACTAAAATGTACCTGAACGAGTTGTGAAGACAAACCTAAGTAGGCCATTAAGACATACCTGAGTAATACATTTAGACATACCTGAGTTAGTCAATAAGACATATCTGAGTAATACCTTTAGACATACCTGAGTTAGTCAATAAGATATACCTAAGTAGGCCATTAAGACATACCTGAGTAATACCTTTAGACATACCTTAGTTAGTCAATAAGACATACCTAAGTAATACCTTTAGATATACCTGAGTAAATACCTTTAGACATACCTGAGTTAGTCAATAAGACAAACCTAAGTAAGTCATTAAGACATACCTGAGTAATAACTTTAGACATACCTGAGTTAGTCAATAAGACATACCGTAAAAACCCATGTTATTTGCGCACTTTTTTTCCAGAAATTTAATACCCAAAGTGGGGGGTGCGTAAAATACACAGGTATAGAAAATTTCAAGTTTTTTTCAGGAAAAGATCGACGATTCTGGGAGATCGCCATCTTGGATTATTTCCCTTGGTACACGGAACTCTAAGACAAATGACGATCAACAAATTTATTTATGTCAAACATTAATAAAAGATACATATTGTGTTGTTATGTGAGTTTATGTGAAAAGTATTATTAAATAGGTAACCGTTAACAAAAAAAGTTTAGCCAAATTCCTATGCCAGAGAATCGCCGATCAACTTACGACATTACGTTTCGACATCTCGGTGCGTTTCCCCATACTATTACGAAAATGTAGTTGTTCAATTTAAGCTCCGTTCCATGTAAGTTCTGTAAGTTTTTTTCAAATCGCCTATGCGTATACGTATAGCATGGTTTTTTTCCGGCTCACTTTCATGTTGATCTCGCGTCTAACATTACGTAAACACGTGATTGATAATAACCTCGTGAATTATTTCAATATTTATTAAATGAAGCATCGTAAAAATAGTCTGCGTTAACTATTTTTTTCCTTGGAGTAGATTTGAAGAGGATGTATTGATTGTCCACGCTTCTAGTATAAACATATTTTTTATAATCCCTTATCAGTCAAATCAGTCTGTAGTTATGACAATGCAGTAGGGCTTCGTAATTCACGCCACGTGTTGGCGAGTGAAAAAAACAACAACACGGTCCGTCGATCGCGACTGCAAATCATTTCAATTAGTAGAGCTATTGTTAACGGGTAATCACAGAGATAGTGTTAGCTCATTACTGCATTGTAATTTGTAAAAAAATATCGCCAAACCACGGACTTAGATAATCTAATTCCGTGGCCAAACTGAACTGTGACATGACCTGGTTTGAAGTGACGTAACCCAAGCCGCCATGATGAGCCCTTCTCACTGATCGTAATTATGATCAATAAAAGGTATCTAATTATGTCTTTCACCAGGAGATATGCACCAGCGGTTAGTAAACATCGAATTACTTATTAATTGATATGTTTTTGTAAGCAAGTAGATGTTTTATTAAAATATTGCTAAAATGAATTGATGTATGCCGATATGCGCACACGTGTGTGTCATGTGTGATCAGATAATTCAAAAAATAATTCGAAAACAAGCAACAAAATACACATTTTACGTAGTTTCTTCTTGGTTTTAAATATCATTTTACATCAATGAAAAAAAAATCATAGAAATATATTTTTTTTTAAATTATTCAGAGATCGATTTTCGGAGCATGAACATCATTTTTTTTCCAGATTTTTTGGGTGCGCAAAATATTCGAGTAGAAGCTTTTCTCCCTATTTTCAGCCTCAAAAAGTACCTGCGCAAATAACACAGGTGCGCAAATTACATGGGTTTTTACGGTACCTGAGTTAGTCAATAAGACATACCTGAGTAATACCTTTAGACATACATGAGTTAGTCAATAAGACATACCTGAGTTAGTCAATAAGACATACCTGAGTAATACCTTTAGACATACATGAGTTAGTCAATAAGACATACATGAGTTAGTCAATAAGACATACTTGAGTAACACCTTTAGACATACATGAGTTAGTCAATAAGAAATATCTGAGTAATACCTTTAGACATACCTGAGTTAGTCAATAAGACATACATGAGTTAGTCAATAAGACAAACCTGAGTAACACCTTTAGACATACCTGAGTTAGTCAATAAGACATACCTGAGTTAGTCAATAAGACATACCTGAGTAATACCTTTAGACATACCTGAGTTAGTCAATAAGACATACCTGAGTAACACCTTTAGACATACCTGAGTTAGTCAATAAGACATACTTGAGTAATACCTTTAGACATACCTGAGTTAGTCAAATATACCTGAGTAAATACCTTTAGACATACCTGAGTCAGTCAATAAGACATACCTGAGTAACACCTTTAGACATACCTGAGTTAGTCAAATATACCTGAGTAAATACCTTTAGACATACCTGAGTCAGTCAATAAGACATACCTGAGTAATACCTTTAGACATACCTTAGTTAGTCAATAAGACATACCTCATTAATATCTTTAGATATACCTGAGTAATACCTTTAGACATATCTGAGTTAGTCAATAAGACATACCTGAGTAATACCTTTAGACATACATGAGTTAGTCAATAAGACATACCTGAGTTAGTCAATAAGACATATCTGAGTAAGATATTAAGAAATACCTCAGTAAGTTGATAAGACATACCTGAGTAGGCTGTGTTGGTCGGGAGGACCCTGTAGCAGGACATACACAACATTTGTGATGGTGACAATGGTAGCCTCTGACAGCTTGGTGTCCTTGAGGATGTGCAGTAACCTTGAGGTCAGACCAATATCTCTCATCAGCTGGAAGTTGGTCACCTGGTCACTAAAAAGATAAACCAAAACCTACATATCTGGACAGTGCAATTACATATAGTTAAACTTTGAAAATCTCATCCATATTCAATGTTATAATCAACAATTATATATGAAGCATAGAAAAAAAATCATTATTATTGATCCCATATATTCTCCATTGATCAAACAGCATCTACATGGAGCACAACTTTAAAATAAGAAGCACTCCATAAAACATTAAATTAATTTTGGATGTTGCCATTACATCATTTGCTCAGTTCGTGACATTTAGTTCTGGCCACTACACAAAACATCTTGTCCAACAAAGAAGCCATGGACTGGTCCAGGAAGCAGCTACATATTTGCCAGCTACCAATAGCCTTCAACATTCTGTTTTGACATTTACAACATAATTACCCAACCATACAGTTTAACTTATATCTCAAGTAATATAGATGTTCTACTCATTACAAAATCCTGAATTTTCCAAATGAAGGGAAGTAACTTTCTCATTTTGTATGACAGTTGCTTGTGACTTTTTCCTTTGCAAACATAATTTTTTATTTTGACCTGATTAGACAACCTCTATCTTCTACTGAAGTAGCTACATGTTTTGTCAGTGAATTTGATTACTCATATTGCAGATGTAAATAGATATAAACTACACACTTCTATTTCCAAATATATTTACTCTAAGATAACACTATGAAAAATACCTAAAATGCTCTTTATAAAAATTTCAAAGCTCTTCCCTTGGTATATAATTTATTTTCTAATTAACATGCTTCTAAACTACTCTATCATTGATTCAATACTACGTCCTTGATTTTATGATCAGAAGATATTTTGAATGAAATGATGAATGGAACTGAATATCTGCTAGTATAATTGTGCGTTATTTTGAATGAAATGATGAATGGAACTGAATATCTGCTAGTATAATTGTGCGTAGGAAACAAAACTTGAAAAAAACTACCATAAATGAATATTTTTGCACTGTAAAAAAAGAGTTGAAATGTTATTTTTATTTATAAACGAAATAATCTGGACAAAAAAGCAAAGTGTTTACTGCGTGAATAGAGAGAGTGCAGGCATTAATTTTCTAGATAGGAAAAAATCAAATTATATCTTGTACATGTACAGTGAGTTTGTTATACGAAAGAAATGGTTTTATAGTGAAAAAGTTTTTTGTTTTTTTTTAATAAATCCTCCTTATTACAATTGACAAAACTAAAATCTGGCATTTCGATGGTAACACCTACACAAAATAAATATGTCGCTGCTCATCTTATACAAACAAAACACTGAAATGAAACACAGGGGGCATCTCTTGTGTTTGAACAGCAGGAAAGTAACAATCAGCATTGATTGAAAACATTACGATTTTCAATAGCTACGTTTACCAATGTTTAAATTAAACAAATGATATTTGAACAGAGGCACCAAACAAAACAAGCTGCTGCACACCGTGTCTAGCCATGCACAACACCAAAGTATGAACACCAACGCAACCTTACCTGTGAACCGCCCACCTGGTAAACAAAGGCATTAACATCAGTCGAGACATGCTCAACATTAACTAACATGGGACGACCTTCCTTATGATGGCTGGACCCAACTTTCAAAAATCTGAGAAGTTGCAAGAAGAAAGGATGTGATTCTGTTCTCCTGACACCTTTTTAAAGATTATCCTTGAGTAGCTTTGTGACTTTGGTGAGCAATTTTTTTTTTTAAAGTAAATTCTTATATTAATGAAATTGTAATTTTATGAACAGAATAGTACAATGTTTTCTAAAAGGATTTTAAAGAAATTCTAATTATGGTTTAAAAATATAATATATTTTATACTTTTTATGATTATGGTTTGTGAAAAGTTCCAAATTGATTTTAATTTTGGTTTCTGAAAAGATTTTAAGAAATTCTACCAATTTTCAATGTATTTTAAAAGTTTATTTTACAAATGTCTTCCCCAAAGTACATAAATTCCGTACAGTTTACGAGGATTATGAAACTGGGGTCCAGCCTATGTCACATGACTCATATCTGAAACTCAAACTTACTCCGATTTAACAGCTGCAGCATATGCAGATATCTAACTTTTCTCTCATTAATCAACTTGAAAATATTTACCCCAAAACATTTAAACAAGTGGTATACAATTTTGTGTATCTCTTATTATTTTAGTTCATAATGGTAGATAATAAACATTTGCAAAAATTGATTAATTTCCAGTGGTAGTGAGGACAATACACTTGTATGTACATATATTGAGATGTGACATTGAGTTTGGCGAGGCTATGTAGATAAACTTGTAATATAGTACTATTCCATGCTCAGTAATAACACTGGTTTGTATACCATATTATACAATATTGTTTGACTAACGGCGTACCCTTAGGGAAGTACCAATGCTAAACATGCTAGATACAGAGCTAAATAGTCTCTAACATGACAATGGGTCTGTAGTGTGATACAGAGCTAAATAGTCTCTAACATGACAATGGGTTTGTAGTGTGATACAGATCTAAACAGTCTCTAACATGACAATGGGTTTGTGATGTTATACAGAGCTAAATAGTCTCTAACATGACAATGGGTTTGTAGTGTGATACAGAGCTAAATAGTCTCTAACATGACAATGGGTTTGTAGTGTGATACAGAGCTAAATAGTCTCTAACATGACAATGGGTTTGTAGTGTGATACAGAGCTAAATAGTCTCTAACATGACAATGGGTTTGTAGTGTGATACAGAGCTAAATAGTCTCTAACATGACAATGGGTTTGTAGTGTGATACAGAGCTAAATAGTCTCTAACATGACAATGGGTTTGTAGTGTGATACAGAGCTAAATAGTCTCTAACATGACAATGGGTTTGTAGTGTGATACAGAGCTAAATAGTCTCTAACATGACAATGGGTTTGTAGTGTGATACAGAGCTAAATAGTCTCTAACATGACAATGGGTTTGTAGTGTGATACAGAGCTAAATAGTCTCTAACATGACAATGGGTTTGTAGTGTGATACAGAGCTAAATAGTCTCTAACATGACAATGGGTTTGTAGTGTGATACAGAGCTAAATAGTCTCTAACATGACAATGGGTTTGTAGTGTGATACAGAGCTAAATAGTCTCTAACATGACAATGGGTTTGTAGTGTGATACAGAGCTAAATAGTCTCTAACATGACAATGGGTTTGTAGTGTGATACAGAGCTAAATAGTCTCTAACATGACAATGGGTTTGTAGTGTGATACAGAGCTAAATAGTCTCTAACATGACAATGGGTTTGTAGTGTGATACAGAGCTAAATAGTCTCTAACATGACAATGGGTTTGTAGTGTGATACAGAGCTAAATAGTCTCTAACATGACAATGGGTTTGTGATGTTATACATAGCTCCTTTATATCTCCTTTTGTCAAATGTATTATCATCTAGATATTAACAAAACACAGAAATAATTTAAGAAACACTACCAAAATGGAGGGTGAACAGTCATAATATCATTAACAGTCTCCCAATGTTGGAGGTAAAGCCGCTTATTAAAGGTCACACTATGAGATCTAGACTTTTAGGGACGATTACGTAAAGCAGTCTATTTATATGAGTGGCTCTAGGATTGACAGAATATTCACCTTCCATTAATGACACTATCAACTTGACTCTGAGTGTAGGTGGAAAATAATCCTACGGATAGTGAATGTACAATGAACTCAATACAAATAAAATGAATTAGAAAAAAAATAAAGTAACACAGTGTGTGCAGTAAAGCTGTTGAAGAATAAGTGTAGCTAGGTAACTATGTTGATACATGTATTACTTCTACAACAAACTGTGACACTACAGAATCTGTGCAGCTATTCAACTGATGTGTTGACGGGTCCCACTATCTCACATAACAAATTGCCATCCTCTTTAATTGAGTTTACAGTAATCAAAACTAGTAATTCATGATTGGGTACAATTAACATCCCTAGTAAAACTTATGCGATGTGGATTTGTATTGGGTTTTTTCACAAGGGTATCAAAGAGTGCATTTCAACAGAATTTCGCTACCGATGCAGAAAAAAAGTTTTAAGAAAATTTCCAAACAAGAAATTGTGTTATTATTAATTATGATGTTTTAATACTTTACTATTAGCCACAGATACAGATATGATCACGAATTCCACATATTAACAAATTACGAAATCTCACTTTGAACCTGTCTTATCTTGAGCACAAATACTAATTACCATGTTTTCATTTCAGAACATGATTTCAACATGGATAAAAGATAAATTTTATGTAGCTTTTATCCATTCCTTTTTCTTTTTTTTTGTACAAATTTTATCATTGAAATATTTCAATTCCTTTTTTGTTTTTTTTGTACAAGTTTCATCATTGATTTCAGTTCCTTTTATGTTTTTTGTACAAACTTCATTATTGATTTCCATAAGAAATTGAAATGCACAAATCTAAACCTCTAATCCCACATCCAAGAGTGCATCAGATAAAACCGGTTTATTACAATGGGGAACCTCAACACTAGACCAGACAAACTACACTTTTCTACTACCCACCTCCTTAGACGAATCAAGCGGCTAAAACGAGAACAGTATCATTCACTGTAGATTACTTGTATTTCAGGCAAACTTAACTTTGTAAACTCACTTTTCTGTATTTATTCAGGAGTGTGTCACTCCACCTTTATGTCTTAGTGCTATGAATGTATTCAGGTGACACTTGAATTGTACTTAATGTAAGTTCATGCAAAAATGAATCACGTGAAGTATAAGAAATCTACAGTAACAAGGACATGTAGGTACCAAACAAGGTTTGAAATACAGTTTATCTTATTTGATTATTGGAGAGATCATGAAAGAAATGTACAACAGATTTTCACAATTTTTAAACTTATTTAACTTATCAATTAAATTGAATAAAAAAATGATTTCTCTATTTCATAGCCTTTTCAAAATTGAGTCTTAAATGGTATTTTCTTTGTACACTGCTGATGTTGTAGCATATACTTATTCGAGTTTCATAATTTTTTTTTTTTTATAAGATTCTGGCTTTTGTCTTCCTATTTCAACTAAGTGAGAACAATCAAATCAAATGAATATTTTATTCACAATCTAAAGAATTGAAAATCAAATTTAGTGGGACTCTAGGTTGGGTAATTGAATTTTAATTTTATCAATAAGTTATTATGGATAGATAAATGATAATTCAAATAACCAAATTTTCAACATTTATATTCAAAAGTGAAAAAAAAAAATGTTTAAAACACCTGCATGTATTATTACACAATTATTTTGGTATGACTCAGACGGAGCATTGTCAAGGAAAGCAGGGCTTAGCTGAAAACTGGCAAGCTACGAAAAAAATGTGTGATTGCCAGTGGCACGCAGCGCTTTAAGAGAGAACATTCATAAACTCATGCCAATATAAAAAATATTTAAAGCAAAAATCATTCTGGGATTCTTAAGCATCATCCATCAAGGTAAAATGCAACTTGCTAAAACACAGAGACCAAGCCAGATAGAAATTTTAAAAAGGAAATGAAAATATCAGATTTGTGTAACATGCATTGGCTTGTAAAGTATGTATCTGTATTGATACTTTAACATATAACAATAGAAACACACAAGACTTACCTTGATTCTGTTAACAGCTCGTAGAAATGTTCGTACAGTGAACGCTGAAGATCGTACGGAGCTTCATGCCACACCTGCAAAACAATGATCCAATTCTGTATCAATTACACACTATATAAAGGTATAGGTTATTGTAGTGATCTGTGAAATCTGCTACATAAAACTAAGACAGCTCATTATAATTTAAGTTATAGAAATAGAAATAAATTAAAGAACTAGAAATGTTTGAAAGCATGTATATAATCTTACTCCAACTAAGATGGAGTGGAGCTAAACACAACGTCCTGCCAAAGAAATAGAATAAAATGACAATTTAACCAAATCAATGGTGCCCAATTTCAACCACTAAATGGTTTGGTTTTTATTGGTTTGGTTTAATTTTGTTTAACGTCCTATTAATAGCTATGGTAACTTAAGGACGTGCCTCCATGTGTGTAGTGTATGCATGCTTGCATATGTGTAGGCAAAGTTTACCAGAGCTAAATCAAAAGTCTAATCAAAGAAATGGAATTTAACACAAATTCTTACCAAAGAAATGGAGCTAAATACAAAGTTTTACCAAAGTAGGTGAAGCATAAAACATGGGTCATAGTGACCTCGTTTCACTATTCTCAATAACACGCATTCAGTGCCTTACAAAGGTAAGATAATTTGCACCTAGTTTACATGACATTTTATGAATTTCTTTTTTTTTCATTTTGTGAAATCAAATTTGTCCCAAGAGACTACAAAAGAATTAAAATATGTATGGCACCAAAGATTATAACTTTCTTTCAGTAAAATACTGATAATATGTAGGAAGCTTTCCTACAACATGGCCGTACCTCCAGATCACACAGCAGGTCCTCGAACGCCTTCTTGTTAGGTATGACAGAACTCTCCTTGCCACTGTCCACTGTACCAATAAGGGAGAAGGTCAGGTGTAGAATGTGACTATTCAGGAGATGCTGCTTCTTCTTGTACAGCATGGCCAGGGTCTGGAAAGGAAATCAATTCTAGGTTTCCAAGTTTTATAAACAACAGATGAAGCCAATACAAGAATATATGCGATTTTTATGTCCATTTTTACAGCTAGGCAGACTGGAATAAAGATGTCCAATTTTTTACAGCTAGGCAGACTGGAATAAATTCCCCCTTTTTGTGGACACAAGTAACAATATACCCTTAAGAGGAGTGAAATCTCAACTTTTTATCATCAGCAGTAGATAATTCTTCTATAAAACTATACGATCTTTGATAATTCTGTTTATTTCTCTCACTACTCCACACTCTAGTGTCTACCTGATAACCCTGTATCCTTTCCATGTCCTTGAGAACAGTCTTGTTGCTCTTGACAACACAGACGAGGGCTTTCACTGCTGCGTACAGGCCCTCCACATCAGTTGCCATGGCCAGTAGCCCCAGTAGAGCTGAAGCACCTCCAACATTCTCCAGCATCTTGGCCACAGGTCTTGGGCAGAAGGTTCTTACCCCTAAAAAACCAAGAAACCAAATTTAGAATATAATCCTTCAGGATCAAAAAGTCTAAATCATGCTAAACAGAACTTGATCATTTAAGATAATACAGCTTTTCTAACTATAAAATAAAGTTAACAACAAAAATATTCAAATGTATGCATAAAATATTTAAAAACACTAAAATAGAACCTCTTCAATGTTGAAAACAACAAATGCGACTATCAATAAAATATAGTATTTTCTTTCGCTGAAAACTTCTCAGTGAGAAACTTATCTGTATGATCAATTTGTATAAGCTCCAAAGCCATTCGGGATCTAGTAACAATATATCCCTATCATCTGGCTCTGGAAGAATAACCTAATGGCCTTTAATTACCTAGATACCCAATGAGGATGGCACCCAGACTGCGGGCTAGGCCACTAAGGTGAGCAGCTGAGTTATGGAGAAGTCGGATGGGTGTGGCATTATCGTGGGTTGACATAGCCAGCTGTTTGGCGATGGATTTGCTGTCCACCTTGTTGTAAACTTTTCTGATTTTGGCAATGGTCATCTGGAGAACGGCATGTGCATGGACGCCAAACACAACCTTCTCCTCTGCGATTAGGGCATTGACTGTTTCACTATCCTCTGCAACACAACATTTTTTTTTTTTTTCAAGATTTTGTAAGATAATGGCAAATACACAATCAGAATTTGAAATACTGCTAAGATTGTAGAAATGTTAGTCTTGAAACACTAGGGACCTAAGAAATTTATTTACTACAGGCAAAATGAAATATAAAGTATGATCTTTATGACAAATTCCTTCCACAGAACCCATTGGTGACTTTGCAAAAATTCACACTATGTTTGTTACAAGTAAATATATTTTACGCTATGCAGTAATAATTCAGTGTAAATATTACCTATGTCAAATGACTTTAAATTAACAATCATAAAAATTGTTTTCATGATATTTTGACACGGGAAACAAAGAAATATTCCACACTTAAAATTAAAATATTTTACAATGATATAATAACCAAGACACCCATTGACATACCGAGGACAGGTGACTGGAAGCTGCCGAGGTAAGTAGGCCCAAGGTTGTAAATGTTGGCGACCACAGCATGAGTGACAATGTCTTCCAGTAGGTGACAAGGCCCCTGTCTCCAGGTCAGACAAGAGTTCTTGCGTAGTTGGGGTGGGCTGCCGATGTAGGTGAACACGGAGGTGAAGGCAGTGGGGCTGGCAGTACCGCCCCCTCCCAGATTTGGAGAGATGTAGTGCAGCTGTTATACAAAGGCATTATTATAATATAGTACTTGACAATGATGGTTTTAATATACATTGTATGAACCTGTGTCCATAGAATTTTACCATTTGTTTCCAAAACTGTTATAATTCATCCAGTGATAGATATTTTTATTGCAAATGAAATGCATTACTTTTCCTGTATAACATTAAACTATTGCATAAAAATAGATCATTTGTGAGTACTTTAACTTGTGGTTTTAACAAACCATTTTACAGTCAGCCTGTAACCTTTACTTGTTTCAATTTAACATTAAATTGCTGTACTGATTTTCTTGCTTCTATAGAATCAGAGAAAACTGTGTACGTTTATATATAATAACAAAGTGGTGTTTGACAGTACCAAATTTATCCTGCAATAAGCTAATAGGTCTAACATATAATCTCAGACTCAACGCAGGTGGGTTAAGCTTATAATTAACAGGACAATGAAATAGCATTTGCTGGCATTTTTACTGAACTGCAATAGATAAGGCTGGGCTTATAGCAGGTATGGGCTTATTGCTTGACAAAATATACCTGTCAATTTGCATACCAGGTATTTTCATCAATAAATCTATTTCATGTCAAGTTTAGTATATAAAACCTACTTTTTGTGTGCTGACATGGTCCCCATCTACAAACAGACTGACGCTGCTGTTTTTCATGATCCCAGCTCTGTGGAATATCAACACTAGGTGGTGCCACTGTCCTTCCTGTGTCAACTCTGGGTACCAAAACCTCACTGTGTTGTCATTTAAGACCGGCTCCGGCTCATTCTCCACACCAGTCACTGAAAACAGGCAAATAAAAGTAAGCCAACATTTTAGTACATACCCACTTGATTTAATTATGCTAACATTGCATTTTCAACACATATGATATGTAACTTTGCATCTGTAATATAAGGTGAACACATGCATGTGTTATCACACACATCACTGTTAAGTTAGAAACACAATACATAAACTTACCAAAAACTCAGTTGTTAATCCACTTTAATCTTTGAGACAATTTTGGCAAACTTGTAATTCCTATGAGCATGACAGATATTTTACCTGTGTTTGGCAATGTAGATTCCTGTGTTGATACGATGAGAGAACGCTCCTTAGAAGTTAGCATGACACTGAGACAAATGAGATTCTCCTCCCTCCCCTGGAGATTCCTTACAACGGTCAGCAGCCGTACCGGGTGAGGGTCACTTGTACTTGAGAATTTGTCCACACAGAACCATGAGGAGAAGGTCATGCCTGACTGAGGAGGGAACACCCTCTCCCCTGTTCCAACGCCCCCTATCACTATGGGGTCTGACCCACCAACCACTCCCGACACCACTGAGGGGGTAGGAGGGCCCTGGGGGGCAATACTGGGAAGATATAAACACCCAAAACCCTCAGCACTCATGTCAAATTCAACAAAGGCAGGCGTCACTGCCAACCCATGCATTCTAGCATCTTTTGGTGTTGTCATTGATACGAGACATTTCACCCGAGTGAGTGGTACAACGCCCCCTGCTGTCTGGAGGCGTTTAACGACTTCCACTGGCGTGCGCCGCTCCTCTATACTAGGGGCACGACTCAGTGGCCAGTTGTGGTTCCAGGTCTTTGGAGTGGGACCGTCGAACATCTCATCTACTGGCTGACAATTCAATGGGGACCCTAACCGGGCAAAATCCCTGTCGACAGAATGTACGATTTATTGAACTGGGAACCACAGTAATTGAAGTAAATTGGGATTCTTTATTAAAATTTAAAGCTGCATGAAACAAATAACTATAGAGTGCATTATTTTGTCAAGTTTTCGAAAATAAAAATCTGTAACAAATTGGCTGTGTTCAAATTTTATGCAATGTATAAATGTTAATAGTCCTTATTAATGCAAAAAAATCCTGGGGTTGATATTTTATTTTCAGGCAACAAATAGCAAAAAGAACACCTACACCTTATATCACCATATTACAGTACACTGCCACAATCACAATATAAACTTAGCATTTAGCATTTAGTTTTTTTGTATTTAAACTTAACTAAAGGATGTACCTCAGATCTCTAGGTGTGAGTGACTGGGCGGCCAGCCTTTCAAACATAGCCCTCAATATGGAGTGCAAGGGGTGCAGCTCGTCCGCTAAAGCCACATAGCCATGACTCAGCAGCTCGTGCGGGAAGCCATTCTCGCACATGATCTGTTGATTACGCTCCGTGTGTAAGAGGGCTCGCAACAGCTTAGCCGTGTACAGCTTCAGGGACAATGTCAGCTGTAAAACAGGAATGAAAGACCTAAGTTATCAAGACAGATTAAGGATTCTAAAATTACCAACTTTAAAACATAGCAGATTATTTGGAGATATGATACAAGTTTATAAATGGACACCATGACACTTTCGTTACTGAAGGATTTTTAAATATAAGCGATAACAAAAGATCAAAAGGTCATAGTTATCAACTTGGAAAAGGAATGTCCAAATTGAACTTAAGAAAGTACTTCTTTAAAGAAAGAATGCCAAATCACGTCATCACATCATCAACAATGAAACGTTTGAAGCCCAGCTGAATAAGCTAAAGCACTGGAGACACCCAGAATGTTTTTACAATCATGAACTTGACAATAAATAATGAACTATTTCCTGTAGGATGACATTACATATGATCTGGATGTATAGGAATTTGCCTGCGTCCAGTATTATCATATAAGTATTATTAAAACAATTCAAACATTTATCTTCTATTAATATATTCACATACTATTGTACATTTTTTTATAGATTGTTATTCAATTTGCTTATTTAAGGGTTATCCCAGAATTCAGAAAAGGTCTGAAATTCATGCTTGTTTAGGGCTTTGCATCTTGGCAACAGCAAAGGTCATATGACAAAAGGAGTCCGGAGAAGATTTGGCCACGCAAAGACCAATCTTACATCATTCTGACGATGGGCTTACCTGAGGAGAAGGAAAGTAACCCATTTCTAATTTCAATTAAGTTTTACAATATGATTGGTTGTTGGATTTTAAACAATTCTATAAAAGATTATTTATAACATATAAATAAACATTATATGTAAAATCTTTTAAAATATTCTCACCTTATTATATTGTTGAACCATAAATTTTGAATACTTCTTTTCAAAATCTGGATATGGAGTCACATAATATAGATCTCAATAGAAGTAAAAAAATAAGTCTGGTTGATAATTGGTAAACCTATACTTGTAACAAAATGCAAAATCTTTTGACACTAACCCTGGAGCTGGCCTCATGTTCTAAGGCGGGCAGGAGGTGGAAGATGGACAGTACAGCCCCAGGGTGTACGATCACTTGTTCCTGGTTGGTAGTGGGGGAGATGTTGATACTTCCTGTCGATGCTCGCTTGGGTTTGGGTGACGTCTGTACAACATCTTCTCGGGAAGACTGTATCATAGTGAAGCGTTTCACAGCTGGGGAATCGGCGGGTTGCGCTTTGCTTCCCCCTACACCCGGCCTATAAACAAAGTAGATATAATATTCAACATTTTTTTTTTTTTGCTTTATTCTCAATAACATGTCTCAAGGACACTAACTCTTTAGTAATTTTCTGTTTTGAAAAATGACAATTTCACATGTTGCAATTCAATAATACTCATCTGAATCTGATTAAAACACATTACATCTTAACTTGTTACTGTATAACATTTCAATTTCATCGAGTCAAATATTTTAACTTCTGCAACATATTTTCGTACATTAAAATGAGCCTAACTATTCTCTCTATCAGAAGGGCAAAGGATTAACAGTGTAATTATTACATGTATTTCTAAGGCATGATAGTTCAGCAGGTATAAAATATATGTAAAATACAGGCACTATATTGTTTTAACTACTCTTTAGTAATATTTCAAACATATTTCTTGATAAAGCAGTATACATACTTATCAAATATATCCAGTGCCATGTTGTAGAGATATTTGATCATGATACAGGCTGACAACAACGTGATGGGAACCTCCATCTCTAGTCTGTAACAAAGTCGTGTCATAAATAAATCTTTCTATCAAACAAAATAATAACAAACCAAAGTCATTTTCAAAAACAAAATTTTAGTTTGAATTTCAATTTAATATATTTATATATTTAATTTTATTTAAGTTCATTTCATTGTGCTTGTGATAATAAAAATCTAAATTAAATACTGTTGACTCAATTGAATAAGCGTAAAGTTCATTTTGCTGAATTTTTATGATAGTCAGCAAGTATAGAAGATAACTGTTTAAAATTCTTGTTAATTATGCACTTGTACCGCTCAAATATGTTATTCAACTGCTTGAAAATTTGTGTATAATGATCCTTTAATATTTCCTAGAAACTATAGGTCATTAGTTGATATAAGATTTTATTATGCATCTTTGTCAATCTAAAACAAAACCGAATTCAATCTCCCAAGAGCAAATAATAAATACAACTTTCTTACTTGTTCTCCTTTGTGTGGACAAAGAAATCCTCAAACACGGCTGTAATCGTCTCCTCCTCTTCTATGATAAAGTCCATGGCTGGCTGTATGTCAATGGTACCAGCAAAACATCCCAGTAACCGTACAGCTTCTGTGAGGCTGTCATATCGCACCTGAAACACCGCATCACACACAGTCAACACCATGGATAAATAACGTCAACATCTTAGTATACTCGGTACTAGGAGAAATTATCTTTTATGTATTTTTTTCATTCTTTTTACAATTTGCACAGTGTATCATTTAAACAATTTATACCAGGAAACTTTAGCCCAGTCAAAACTTTCTCCCTTCATTATCAAATACATATTTGTCCAACATTAATTTTGCCCTTCACATGTTATGACTCTGTATACAAATTATTGTGTCTTAACATTCGCTGTGGAGGGTGAAAAAAGCAAAAGTTACACCGCAGCGCAAATTTCCAGATAAAGAGTATTATATTACAAACACTATTTCTAAGTTAAAGAATGAGTTAGGACTTCAATGCTTCTTATTTCTGAATAAATTTAATGCGGAAGACCCACATTTCTGAATAGAAGGCACACATTTTATTACATCTCACCTCTGTATCAAAGAATTTAGCATTGGCAGGTTCATATCTCATGGCAACTGTGAGGGTGCTGAAAACAGTCCGCAGCATGCCCAGAACTTCATGTCGGGACACTGTGGATAGAGAAAATACTGGTAGATAATTGGTCTCGCACTGTGACATTGTAGAGGAAGGAATTAAAACCACTCTTGCATTGAGCCGTGTTTGAATTACTTAGTGATAGCTTTAATGGATATAGAGGAATATTTTTATCTTCTTTATATTCTGCAACATGCATACATACCTGTGCCCCAGGGCATTTTGGGTGGGTCTGCTAAACATCCCTCCATAGATACCAACACTGACATTACATAGACAAATCCTCCCACTTTCCTGAACACCGTCCTCGTCCGATGACTTTCCCTCAACACGTGTAGCAAGGACTGAAAATTGTTAGCACATGTGAACAATTTTGTCACTTTCCCCCAACAAACTAATTATATTGATAATTAGAATATGAAGAAATGTTATTATATTGAACATTCCACTCTCAGAATGAGAGTAAGTTCAAGGTACGATATCACCAGCTATTTTGGACAATTTCAAAACTGCCACCTATGCCCTATGGAGGAGTAATTTCAATACAGAAGTGTTGTAATTTCATATTTCTGAATATTTCTAGTACTAGCCTGTTAGCAGATTTTGCCAAATTCTACTTTTGCAAGCAAACATTGCAAATATTGATTTTTTTTAATCATTAGCCCTGACATTAAATCTACCAGCCCCAGGCATCATGCTAGTGACATTGTACATCCCTGCATTGACATTTGAATTATATCCAGTAGACTCTTTCCTGAATATACCACATCTCTTTACCTTTAGAATATGTGTTTTAAGCTCCAGAGACAAGACTGGCGCTGTGTGCATCAGACAGAGTAGCGTGCCCATATCATCGTCACCACCAGGGGACAGCACCAGTTGCTGTATGATGCCGAGGACTTGGTGGCGACACTGAGGAAAGATCACCATGTTGTGTGCACATCTTGCCCCTCCACACTCCCTGAACACAGCTACAAAACATACAGCCAGTATGACAGAAAGACAAAAATGACAACATCTCCTGAGTGTTCAGTTAAGAATTGAAAAGCAAATTTTAACACATATGATGGTATGAAACTCATATGCTTACAAACATATTCTTCAAGGTGCATTATCCACAACGACAAAAATATTATTTAGTCTTTCTAAAAGGTCTCTTTTAGTTCATGATACATTTTAACCCATTCACCCCTAAAGTCACAATTGAACCGTACCAAATCATAGACTTGGCAAGTCCAGTTCAAATATGTAGGGGTGAATGAGTTCAATAAATTTTAATCAAATTATTGAACAGCTTTATTAGAAGGACAACGTTTTGTTTTCAAGGTAAACATTACTATGCACATGCACATCTAAGGCCAAAGGAAAACCTACATATGATATTTGAGAGAGATCTGTCTGGAACTCCTTGAGATACTGAGATAATAAACTGTGTAACTGTGATAGCTATAAATATCTGAGTTTTAACAAAACATACCTGCATTAATGTGATGACACTAACTATTTAAGTTTTAGCAAGGAATCTATGCATTCTAGTATTTCTAAACATTTTCTTCAGGTTGGTAAGTATGGATTTTCACAAATGACCAGTAAAGCGTATGCACACAAAGGTTTAAAATGTGTACTGGTCATTTTTCTGATGAAGGTGACAGTGTACATATCGTACTAGTCATCGAAATGTCACATAGAAAATTTTATTGGTTATGAAAAAAGAACTTTTCATAATGCATTCTAGTGTTGGCACTAAATAGAGAATTTAGCCAAGCATACCAGCATTATTTTACTGTCCTTAATATAGAGTTTTTAGCCAGGCAGACACTCCCAATTACTGTATTGGCACTTAAGTCAGACATACCTGCATCAATGTGATGGCACTAAATATTTAAGCAAGGAGATCGTGCATTACACTGTTGGCACTAAATAGATTATTTGGCCAGGTATACAGACTTAATTGTACCTGCACTAAATAACAGAGTTTTTAGCCAGACATACACTTCCATTACTGTATGAGCACTTCAGTCACACATACCTGCGTTACTGTTGTTGGAACCAAGCAGGAGTGTGAGGCAGTCCATGACGAGGAAGCCCAGCTGTTTTTGTTCAGGATCCATCTTCTCACATTCTACAGCAGGATACAATCACATCACAGTTTATTAATATTTGTATCATCATGCTTGGAATTGGAGGCACATGCAAAATGGATAGAGAAACATATATGGGGAGGGGCAAACAATGATATCAAGTACTTCTATGATACGAGGCTACTTTTACAGATATTACTAAAGTGCAGATAATCTGCTGTATTTTCTGAAGAGAAGTGATATTTATATCAGCATCTAGAATCTAGTCTGAGACTAGTGAAATCTCCAGCTGGATTAGTGGTCCTAAAAACTGTAAGTGTGATTGACTAGTCAAAACTTGATATAACCTATCATGCTGAATAATACTGAGTTAGTGGAATTTGCACACACACACACATATATATATAGACATCAGATATTGTGTTACCTGTAGGAATACTTACCTTGATCAGTCTCTGGATCCTTGAGGAGGGCTGCATACCTGTGCAGACAGGTGACCATCACCTCTAACATGCCCACCTCCCTGAATACCTCCCGATAGACAGCATGGTGCTGTAGTACTCGCTGTAGCGTCTTCACACACAGGATACTGCAACGTATGGAACTGTAATCACAGAAACGCCGATACTTTATGTCATCTACTAATCTATTTAAGGATGTTTTCTACCATAAGAAGAGCATAAATAACAGTTTTCATTAAATTGTCAATAGGTCTACATATGAGTATCATCTAGAAGGATCAATAGAAACAATCTTCTCAGAGAAGTTCCAGTTTGCTGCATCTCACCATCTATAGGCAATATATTGATCAAGTTCCAGGATATGGGTAGAAAGCCCTCAACACGCTTTTGGATTCATCATATTTGTAAAGTGTTAAAACATTTTGAAAGACATCAAATTGTTTTTTTTGCACAGACCATGTATTATGCATGCAAATGTTACCATCACAATATTTAAAATGGGACATTTTTTCCCAACATTTGTTATCAGTGCTCAATATTTTTAAATTGGTGTTGTCTTCCAAAAAAAGAAATGTTATCCTTTGTATAATGCTTGAAAAGCCCCTTTTTACATATAACTTCCAAAACAAACCAAAATTGAGGCCATAGTTTGGAGTACTTACTGGTTGCCTTTGATGAGAATACTGCCAGATATCAGCTCCTTACATGGTACAAAGTTGAGATCAAATACCACAAACTCTAGTAATTCAAAGAACTTTTCCTGGAAACAAACAGAAACTCATTATCTGGAGAGTCTTAACAGGAAACCTCAACTGTTACCAGTAAACGAATCTGAGGAAATTTGGGATAGACGGAAACATAAGAAAAATTCAATTTGATACATAAACAACACATTCAATTTAAAAAAAATATGTTTGATGTAAAGAAACATGTTCTGTGATTATATTCTGGAAACTTTCTTTTTAATGCAGCACAATATATGGGTGATTGAGATCAAAGCAAAGAAAGACTATTGACTGCTCCGATTTAAGCCACTTCAACAGAGAATCAGAAATGAGGTAGTGTCCGTTATCGTATTAATATTGATATATTAAATATGTCTTCTATACTGTTGAATGGTTATCAATTGTCGAAGTTTGCTGACATCTAGACAACTACTGAACCCATAATAAAAAACAATCTCTTACACGATCTTGAAAATGAAAAGACAACAACATTGCTTAATGTCCGTAGCACTGTAGTAAACTTCTTGTCTTCCCATGTACATAATCAACTTTTCCATTTCTTAGTATTTTGTTCATTAAACATAAAGCTGAGCATTTCAAGTATTACAAAGCAGTCACTCTTAATTCGTGACCTGTTAATTTTACCTGGACATCTACAGGTTTTAAATGAATTTTCTCAGCGAACTGTGAGAGTGTGTGCTGTGGTTCGAGGATGAAGTAGTTGGCGTTGTCCTGGTGGTAGATACTGTTGATGACGTCCAGGACAATCACACACAGAGGACTTGTCGTCGCCTGTAAACATACACCAACGGTTATGAAGAAATCTAAATAACTTGTGTTGTGAATCTCTTGGTTTAAATATTGCATGATTCATTACAATTATCAAAATGTAGTTACTAAATGAAAAAATCTCTGGTAACATAACAGCTATTACTGTCAAACTTATTTATGCAACAACTTCCATTAACCCTTTCACCCCTAAATAACTTATGTAGACTCTGCCATACATTCATCTGGATGAGTCAATTATGGTTTACAGTGGTGAAAGGGTTAATTAAGTGACCACATGTGTAAAGAGACCAACATTTGCAATAGTGTTTGCCTGGATGCTATTATCTGTGCTCATTTTTGTCACTAGGGGTGCTATCGTTAGGAAGTACATTGTTGCTGTGATATAAGTGCTGTAAATTTGAAGTCATTTAGATTTCCTTCTGTTAAAGACACTATTATCTCCGGGATGAAATGGTGCCTGAAGATGCCTCATCAATATACACACACCTAAAGTTGTCATTAAGTATAAAGACATTTTGATGTTTAAAAAAATTCAGTTGCATCTAGCATAATGTTAGTTTTCCAACATAGGGAAATATCGAAAGATTTATATCTGACCATAGCCTCAGTGAAGTTACTGATACAATAACTTTCATTTGGGGTTATCCTTGTATGAATTAACAACATTCCACTGAATACGGTAGAGTCACTAGGCATAAAGTTTGCAGGTATAAAGTTAGCAAATTTGTATCCTGATATATCTACAAATCACTGGTAGAGTGAATTTTTTTTTTTCAATTCAAATAAATTAAATCATTTCATGAAGGTTTTTTTACCATATTTATAATTATTCTAGTAAGGGCTATTCCACAACTGATCATATATCATCCTGTTAAATTATGGGTGGTTGGGTTTAAATCAAGATTCTCCTACTGTTCCTGATATTAAATCATTTATAACATTTGATGGTTGGTGGGGTCTCTGAAAACGTGCCTCCCACCCTTCCCAGTTGGTAATTTCTGGAACAGCCCGAATGAATTTCTCCAAACTCTGCATGAAAATTAAAACCACAATGGCCTTATATCAACAATTGACATAGCTCTCATCTGTAATGTACATGAGACTCTCACAAGATCAATTGAGAGGTACTTGGATTTGCAATGTTCTGTATTTGCAAGATTGAAAAAAAAATAAAAAATAAACCGAACATTTGCATTTGCACAGTATATCTTTAGCTTTTGTTGCTTCTGATTTTGAGTACAACGTTTTACTCACCTTGATGAACACAGACTGTAATACTTGGAATGCCTGGATGTTTCTTACACTTACACCTGCAAAACAAGATCAGTTCTGTGTATTTCACTGAAGATTTATACAAAAGTTTGAATTATGTTTCTACAACAAAGACTTTAATATTAAACAAGATGCATTTACCTCTTCATACAGAAATTACTGCTCTTGTTCTTAGGTCAATGATTAAACATATAGCTATATCTTAGTGTTAAATTTTGTTAATTCAATGAAAAAATAAAAGAAACCGAAATATCTAAACATTGATTAGATATTCATATGGATTTTCCAGTTAGATTAAGCTTTCAAAATCCAAATAACTCTTCGATTAGTCTCAGCATCAGAAATACCCTTTCAATACTTAATTGGAAAATGATAAATTACATACCAGTTGAAAACTGGCTATCTATTATTACATAGCAGAAGATAGAATGTGCTACATAGTCATTACAGAGTATGATTGACAAATTACTACTGATACCGATTAGGGGTAAATAGTGTAAAAAATAAAAGAATTAGTTAATTGATAATACAGATTATAGAAATTGTAAGACACCAATTTTTAAAAGTTTTTGTATACTTTGGAGTTATTTCCCTTGATCCAGTAATATCACAGACCTCCAGTGCATGTTAGTAATATAGTATTAATCCTAGAATTCCCAGTGATTTTTTACGTTTTTTTCCAGTAACATGTGCCTTTTCTAAACGTTGAAATGCAATAATTCTTTCATAGAAAATGAGAGCAAGGTTTTCATAGAATTTCAGAAAATGATGTTCATCCAATTTTCAGTATGGGAAACCTCTCATATTTGACAGTAAAATTCACCAAAACAAAATCACTGGGTCCCTCAACCAAATAATTCTGATTACAAAATACAGTGTTCAATTCATAGCTACACCTTACTTTAATTCAGATATTCCTTTTTACAAGTTATGTTGTAACAAGTATTATACAGATAGCAATTTACAACCATTACCAAGAAAAGGACTTCGACATGTTTTTCAAAACTGATATTTATGCAAATTATATACAGACAGGTGATCTTTTCTCGCTGGACTACAATCGCACCATTGTAATGTATCTATAGGTAAAACTCTATTTGTTGTACGGGAAATAGTTTATATTTCTGTTCTAAACTTTTGATTACAAAAGCAATATGAATGTGCGCTAAGGCTGACTGTCCTTGCAGTAATATTCTATATATATGATTAAGGACTAGCTGCTTATATTAGTAACACAATCTGCAATTATCCATTAAATTTCCCAAAGATAACAGTGTATATAAAATACTGCTGTTTCCTGATTTTGATAAGCTATTAATGTTCTTCCTTTTTAGAGGTAAAAGTGTTTATCTTTTAGCTTTCCATAAAAAACTTTCATACAGGAAATGGGCATTGCAGAATGTGTACTGAACATAATCTATCTCCCTTACATGGTGGTGAAAATAGTAAAAAATAAGGAAACTCAACTGCAACTTGGACTTGCATTCACATGTATGCCTGTAGTCACACAACAAATTAAATTGAACAACAAGTAATGCAAATAAGGAAGTTAGAAAATATCCAGCACCCTCCATTTATCTGCGTTAGATAGCAAAGCTACAAAAATACACACATTTACCAAAGTTATGAGACAGACAGAGACAACTTAATATTCTTTCGATATCAGATACTTGTACAATATTTTAGGAACTATAATAAGTTTTAAATGATGAAATATGCAATGCACAAACAGTATTTATTTCGACTATTTTATAAGCTTGACCTAATTTTTAATTGAGTAAGCAGCTGTTTCAATATTGCCAAATACCTAAATCTATGATATTTAGGGTTATATGTTATTATTTACATTATAATGATCATTAATTGATAAATTATGACTTGGAAATACAAAGTTATCCATAATATTTCTGCTGGAGTAATTTCCTACAATCGTATTCAAATAGAATCCTAAAACCATGATATTAACCCTTTCACCCCTGTGTAACTTCAGTAGACTCTACCATGCATTGATACGGATGAGTCCATTATGATCTACAGTGGTGAAAGGGTTAAAGGAAAAGTGTTGTATTTGCATATATTTGAAATGTTACAAGTTAGAAAATGTAACTCTGACTTTTGACTTTAAAATTGTTTGATCCTAATAATTTGACACAACAACAAAAATGGCAGAAGACGGCCGAGGCCTCATCATCTAGGAAAACACAGGAAATGTACACAGAGAAAAGGATTTTTTGTTAATTATTTAAGGTTTTTAATATTGTTGTACAGGCTAAATTTCAGGTTCATGAGAGAATAGATAGAAAACATATTAACTCGACAAGTTAACCAATTGCCATTGATTAAATTTCCATGTTGTTTATTAGCTCCATAAGTATATCAGCAATTTAATATAAGCATTTAACATTAAATACATGATCTTATATTGAAGTTTAAATATTAAGGAAAACCTTTCAAAATAATAGGTATATAGTGATACATACTGCAATACACTAGTGCCATTTCCTATCATATAGACTTTTTTTCAAGATAAAAAAATGTTGAGAGTCTGAATATTAGATTTAAACAGATTGTCAAACTATAATAATTTAAACTTTATCAGACTGATGTAGAGAAGACATGTCTGATATTTCTGCTCACCTTTGCCTGTAGGTTGTGGTACGGAGAAGCCTGGTATCTGGAACAGAGCCCCAGAGCTACCATAGCTAGGTTTGATCTCCACAAAGCCACAGGTGGTGAGAGAACCCACCAGTAACACCAGGTTCCTCAGGGCCTGCTGGGCTTCCTCATTCTTATCCTGTTCCATCCTTCAAACAATACACACAACCAAGCTTAATTAATTTTGTACACATAGAGATATTCTCATGCAGCAATTTTAATATTGCTTAAATCTATTTGAAAACTCTTTTAGAGAATATTGACTAAATATATATATTTTTAACACTTCTGTCCAAGGTATTGATCGATTGATTTCAATCACCTAACAACATCAAATTAGAATTTTAATCTAAAGAACCAACAAATTTTCCTATGAAAATTAGTACTATTCGGTTATTTATTTTGCAAATTATGCTGTTCCCAGCCATGTTTTCCATTTACCAGTATTTTAAATACTCATCTGCAAATTCCGAATCTATAAAAAATGACGTTAAATGTTTTCAGTCGACAGTTCTGCTTACCTTAGGAGGAATTCTGACAAGTATATATATCCTTGGCATGAACGGAAATCATCTAACAGAATCTGGGACACTTCACTCGAGTCTTTTAGGAAACAGAACACAGTCACAAACATTTCCACAAGTTCAAGAGGAGATAACTCTTGAATACGCTGCATGTTCTCTATACAGTGTCGTACACAACCTTTTTCTGAAAAAAATAGTAACAAGTTAATAACTCATTTCAATCAAGTGATCAAATGTTGGGGAGAATATAATGATAGTTTCTTAACTTATTCACCCGTGAAGATACAATTCAACTCTTCCAATTCAAAGGTTGGAATAGTCCATCATGAAATTTCAGGGGTGAATTATGTTAATATTAACAAAGGAAAACTATGTCATGACTGATGGCTTAAAATCACTCTAAATGTTTATTGATTTGAAATTCAATACATCTGAATATTTCTGCCAAATTGCAGTATTTCTTTGATCACCCTTTGCAAGCATGGTTTTGTTTATCATGGCTACAAATAAGCTTGATCCAGTGACTATGAATTAGTAACTCTAAAATTGATACAAGTACAATTCTACTTGAACCATTGCCTGTTTCGGTAATCTTGTTAATTGTGTTGTTATATGGGAACTGAAGGTTCTATTTAACAATTTATTTCATTGTCAATATTTACCATGTATATACTTCACAACATTGGTGGTCAGTCCATGCCTTGACAGTGTGACCAGCACCTCTCCGGCCGATTTTCTCCACAGGGCATTGTGCGTAGGACACCAGCTTGTTATTGCACTAAACAGTAGACTAAGATCATCCTTCCTAGCCAGCTCCTCTGCTGGTGACTGGTGATTGCACAACCTCACCAGAATCTAGAGAATTAAAACACATCATCATTTTATTCCTATAAACTGTAATACTGTACTAAGAGAAGATGCAAACAGGCCTAGTCTGTTCTGTCATCTTTGGTTTATCAATATGATTTTTGAAAATGAAAATATGCAATGCAAATTTATTTAAACAGTGAACAATTAGCTAGTCAAACTTAGTTTTTACAAACTTGGAATATATTTAGTTCAAGGCGAATCCTCTGTTCCCTATGGCATATTACAGAGAAATATTTACCCTGAAATATTAGAAAATTTATAAGAGCAATTTCAAGAAAATGTAAGTTGATTTAGATTTCGTTATATATACCTGAACAAAGACTTTCTGCAGAAGAATTCGTCTTTCTTTTGCAGTAAATTGACTCCCCTCATCTAGCGAGTCACCATCTATTACATCTGGGAGGTCGAAGAACAGGTAGAGACATTTGACGAGGGTAGATGGAAGAGAGGCTGCGGTCATACAGTCTATCAGTGCATGGCTTCCACTGGATAACAGGTTCAGTGCACTCAGCAGCATCCAACCATTACTGGTTTCCTCTGTAGATTCTATCTCCAAAAATTTGACAATGGCGCAGCTAGCTGCCTCTGTTGGATGAAAACAATCCATTAAGAAATGAACAGTGCATTTAGTTGCAAACACTGACGAAAAGAGTGAAAATAAAATTGTGTCAAATATCATTTATTTTCACACCTACTACATTGATTCAATTAAGTTTGATTCAACTTGTTATGTTTATCTTTTAACAAAATTCATTACTAAGACAATATCTGTGTTGCCTGTGACTTAACCCCGATATAATACATTGTTAGTATGCTACAACCTACACAGTTGTTTTAGACTTCCAACTCGGCTCAAAGAAGAAAGTTCAATGTATATAGTCTCATTAATATCAGTATGAAATTACCGAAAAGTAAACAAGAGGCGTTGATAATGAAAAAGTTCTAGACTGCTGTATAATTATAAAGTTTCATTTGATGTATGTTCAAAGAAATTACAGGAATTTGTTTCAGAATGTATAGGTGTCAAAAAATAGTATTTCAGGAAAGTATAGCTAAGAATTATTCGAGGGATGACAATGCAAGCATCAGGGTAGGGGATACAGTGATAATATATGCAGTTGGGGTCTAAACAAATTGTTAACATTTGTAATCCATTGCATATTGCAGAGTTATCTTCTCTTGTGAGTAGATATTGATTGTTACGTCATTTGTTTGTGAGAGTAACGTCATCAATTTTTGAGAAAACTACGTAATTTTCTCACACAAACCAATGACGTAACAATCAATACCTGCTCACAAGAGAAGATAACTCTGCAATACGCAAAGACGGAATAGTGAGCACAGGGGAAACATAATTCTGGACAATGGGGATCACAAATAACTACCTGCCTGCTGCCCCTCCCTGCCATTTATTTATATGTAGAACAGTCCTTACAATAGTGTCAGTATGCTAATCAAACGAATTAGTTTGGGTACCTGTTGATTGGTTGGAAGCCCTTCTTCGTATCTCGGTTACCATCAGTTTTGAGAGGTGACTGCAAAACTGTAGGACATCTGCAAATTTTTCAGTCATTTCACATGACTGTACCTCTCCAAACACCTGAAAAGCAAACACACAAGTATGGAAAAAAGTGAATATTAGTGAAATCATAAAGTGCCAACTGCCAAGTTACTATTCAAAAGACCACACTACTTCTTTAATAAAACTTTCAAAATTTTACAAACCCACTAACCTAGCTGGTGACTTCACTATGATGTATACCTACTAATTAGATCCATCTTTTGAACCTTAGTAGACTCTACCATGCATTAATGTGGATGAGTCCATTATGATATACAGTGGTTTAAGTAATAAAAAAAACCCAAAACAACAACATTTATTTAGATTTTCCTTATTTTCAGAATAGTGAAAAAAAAATGGTATTTTAAGAACAGTATTATTTGCAACAGTGATTTTTTTTCCTTCCATCTCTTTGTTTTCAGACATGATTGATTAACAAAACTTCATTTCCACTTTTGCCATACCTTGCAGAAAAGTGGAATCATGCTGTAGAGTTTGGACTCCTGTTCCTCCTGAACGTGTGTAGTTTTTTTAGGGGGATATTTGAAATCTCCAAACAGCTTTTTTAGATGTGTTAAAGCCAGACTGTTGTCTTGGGCTTTCTGAGACGGCTCTGCAGGCCCCTTAGTATTAACAAATCTCTTGATGAATGACGACATCTTGGGTGTCCAGTAGGTTATCTGGCACTAAAAAATATGAAAGAGAGCAATGAGTCTTCAAAACATAATCTGCATCATTAACCTAGAAGGTATATGCATTATTTTATTATTAATGCTGTGGAGAATGTTTCTAAAAAACAATGAAAATGGCCAGATAAGAATCGTTGAGACTATTTAATAGTCTTTGTGATACATAGAGTAGCTTGACCAATTGTAAGGTCATTGCAAGCTGTGTTAATTATATATTATTCTGGGACGGACACACAATTTTTACCCCCATCCCCCAAACAAAAAAGTATTAGCATCAACATCTCACTGTGTTAAACACACACACGCCTCTTGTCCAATATAAACATGTCTTACTTAGAAGTTTAAAGGCACTCACTGTTACTGCAAGTGCTTTGTATTATCTGTTAAGACATTCTGAATTCACCCCCTCCCCCTGCATTGCATTATCTGTTGAGACATTCTGAATTCACCCTAACCCCCTGCTTTGTATTATCTGTTAAGACATTCTGAATTCACCCGCTCCCCCTGCTTTGTATTATCTGTTAAGACATTCTGAATTCACCCCCTCCCCCTGCATTGCATTATCTGTTAAGACATTCTGAATTCACCCCCTCCCCCTGCTTTGTATTATCTGTTAAGACATTCCGAAACCACCCCCTCCCCATGCCACTGAGTTTGCTTATGTTGATAAATCAGTTAGCATTTCTACTGCTGTAATGAACTCCTCATCTATTCTTGGTTTTTTTAGAAAGGGGTTTATATAAAAGCTATTGATTTTAACAAAGCTTGTAATGACCTTAGACTTATTACAATTAGTCAAGTTACTGTACTCTATGATTAGTTTGTATGAACTGTAATGCATATGTAAATATCACAAAGGCCGAAAAATTAAGACCTGATTGAGTAAATCAGTACAATATTCACGACTGACTGTCTCATCATTAATACAGTATTCAAATTATATTTTGGTATATATGGGGATAAATAGGTCTAAACAATTCACCGTCAACATGAAAGATATGCATTGCACTTACATTTAGTTCCACTTTCCTTTTCTGAACACGTTTTACCAAAGTAGCTTTTGAACTTGGACAAAGTAAAAGTGAAACAAAGTGATGACAATTTCATGGAATTCAATGTTGGACCTATATTACATCGTAGTATTCATAATAAGACATATGCCATGATATATCGACTCCAAGTGATTTTGGCATGGAAGGCAATCAATGTATTACTATTACAACCCATTGGCCTGCTGCTGTTTCTTTAATTTAAATTCTTCAAACACTCAAAACCCATGTCACACTAATAAATAAGAACGGCAGCACAATGGAACATGTTTGAAGTTAAATATTCACCAAGGACAGCAATATCATTGCATAGTCGTAAGAATAGCTCTTCTGAGCTAAAGTTGCATTGTTAGTGTTACAAACACGACTCTAAATAAAAATTCTTGTATCTTGTAATATAAAGTGTAGCTTAGCATTTATATCTTGATATTTTGTCAATACTGTATAATAATCAATCTACATGTGCCTGCCATATACTTGTCAACATAAACACTCCAGATGCATCTTTATTTATAAACTATGGGAAAGTAAGACTTAGAGGTCTGCCAATCACATTGTTACTCTTGTTATTGATTGATAATCAATCAATAACAAATGAGACGATGACTGGAATGAAATATTTGATGAAGGATATATGAACGTTGCGTACATATACCAATGAGTCTGTGCTATGAATATCTTATCAGACTTTAAGAATTATCCCCAAAACTGTGGAGCAATAAGTTGACACCTGACGAGCCGTTCTGTATAATAATTAATAATGTGTCAAAGTAAAGATCAGACGATTGGGTCTTCGTACCCCATATAATGCATTTGTTGATTTAACCAAGAGGAGTCTCTTATGACTGAATAACCGGAGGGGTAGCATGGAAATACCTTCAGTGACAAGAAATTATACCGAAGTGAAACGAGCTTGTGAAGCGTTAAAACTTATATGACGTCTGCAACCGAGACTGAGTCGGGAGACAGAATTTTTATAACCATTTCAGGACATTGCATCCCACAAGCAGTTGATCTATGAATGGTTATGTACCATATCAGCAGTTTGTATTTACATACCTAGTTAAGATATGTGCTAAAACGATACACTTGTCATCTTAAATCAGAAATAATCCTTGGAATCATCATGTTTTCTTTAGTCGACTCCTCCATCGCCATTGCGTTGACTTCACTTCCGTGCATATATTTTCGGTATCACCGGTAGGTGGCGCTATGACAAGATATTTTGTTTTCGTAAACTCGCACCTGTTAATCTAATTTTAGTGTATCTCTTTCGGAATCAACCATCCATGCAATGTTTAAAATGTATGCATTAATATATTTTCTATAAAAAAAATGTCATTACCCAAAGTGGTATGTTTATATTTAATCAATGTATCGATCACAAGTCAACCTTGATAACCCGTATACTAACGTTATGTATACAAGGCATATATATATATATGCCTTGTATACATAGTATACATATATATATATATCAACGTCCACTTAGGCCAATGTATGCATTATACTTCATACATAAACATTATTTAGCTGGAGTATGTAATAAACTCTAAAAGTGTTTGAATATAAACGAATTAGGATTATAGCAAATTACAATTGAGATTGTGAGGCTGATAATTTCAATGGGATGAAGAAGTTTCCCGTTTGGCTAAGCCCATCTACTGAAATAGCTCTCTGATGATTTCCTCTATATGTACATGTACTGTGTACAATTACGTAATATAAATAAATGAATAGCCTTTCAAACAGGAACATGTGAGTTTTTTAATAGTATATCATAATTGAGCGATATATTATATATTACATGCTACAACGTATTCTAAATGACAGATATAGGGATCGATCACAATTATACAGCAAGACCTGATCGGTCTAAAAATATATGTATGGATGCCAATTGCTCAAAATATGTTATTTCGCTATGACATATTCCAGGGGTGCAGAAAGCGTGAGTGAGCGGAACTCCCAGAGTATCGAGGATGCATTAGGACCGGTGAATTCATATATGGCAATAAGCAAATGGGGAAAAAAGTTTTAGCTGTCTTCTGTGTGACAGAATGGGTTTTCTGTTGAAGACGTTGATTGATGTTTGCAGATCGGAAAAATAGTCACATGTCCAACTTTAGGTGCAGGGAAACGGGGTGGGGAAGGGAAGGGGTTGGGGGATTCGGGGGCTCCTTTTGTGGATTTGGTACCGTTGACCATCCCTGTTAAAGGAAGCTAGCTAGTGAAGAACCCTTTGGTGGGGGAGTAACTGAACCTGATACATTATTTTTAACTACTGCAAATTATATCTTTTAAAGAAAAGTTTCAAGAACCACACACCCAAGATGGAAGATTACAATATATATTTATATATATATACATATCAGACATTTATATATATATATAAACATCGTTAGTTTGCATTGCATGATATGCCTGTGAGTTTAAATCTGGCGTCATGCCAGCACTAATTCATGATCCGTCCATCGCCCGTCATTTTTTTTCTCTGAACGGCTTCTTCTTAAGAACTGAAGATCTGGGACCATGATATTTGCCCATTTAGAGTGTTGTAAAGATACATAAATATGATACAATCTCCTTGGCAAAATGAAAGTTTTGAAAATTTTTCTTTTTATATTATTTCTTCGTCCGCGAGGACAATTTTTCTGCTTTTATAATATATATACATTGCAGTAGATCTTGATACTTTTTTTCTATATTACATATAATCATAAGTACCATGAATTCTGTACAAACGCTTATATAGTTGAATATATTACATTGTCAATGTGCCCAGGTGATAAACAGTAGTGTAAAGATGATAACCTAATTTAGATACTGAAATACCTGCTTACGTTGGGTCAATGTCAATATTAGTAATAAATAATCAGAATTCCAAGCGAGGGCAATGAAACCCGTGTCCTTTGACCTTACTTGTCACTAGTAACGATATATTGAGACGTACCGTATCTAACACAAACTTGATAACAGCTGTAGAACTGCGAAGAGTGGCCGCGCTTGCTCACTATACACATTCGAGGATTCTGAATATTTGCAATTTATTGTTATTGTCCACTTATTTTTGTTATTGGCGTCAAATTATATGTGTAATTATAAATGTACATGACGGTATCGAGTAAAATTGAAGTCGATTATATATCACGATATATTTCACCCTCTGATATTTCCACATTTGGGGACGAAGATGGGAGTAGGGGTCGCATGTATTACTTGATCATAGACGTTTTTGAACATTGTGTAGCATAACCGGGGCCTTTTCGTACCCCACCTTTCAGACCATTAATGTGAGGATGAATGGAATTCTTTGACTTTCTCTTTTCGAATTAGCAATAAGTGACCTTTTTTATAAGTCCAAGAACATCCCCTTCGTGGAGTTATGATAAAATGTTGTGCGCAAAAGTGTTGGAGTTGTCCTTCTTTGAGCAATAACGTCCAAGGTATTTCTTGGATATCAAAAGAGGGAAAAATTGCCCCTTTTAGTCCCTAAGCCAGATATATAGTGTGTTATATTCAAGGCAACAATACGATTTCAATACTGTTAACATAGAACTATTTTCTTTTTGCTATGATAGACATTTGAAATTGATAGTTTAAAAAAGTATTAATTTCCTTGGTTTCTTTAGGCCAACACCATCCATTCCCCACTTTCTCCCTGCCACACATATCTATCAAAATGGCAATGCTCTGAAGTATCGCTGGAGTAATATTTTATATATTATACATCATATAAACAGAAAAGTGACAATTTATTATGAACATATTATACACATGAGACATATTATACACATGAGACATATTATACATATGAGTCATATTATAAACATGAGACATGTTATGCACGTGAGTCATATGATACACATGAGACATATTATACACATGAGACATATTGTACACATGAGACATATTGTACTCATAAGACATATTACACACATGAGACATATTACACACATGAGACATATTGTATACATGATACATATTGTACACATAAGACATATAATACACATGAGACATATTATACACATGAGCCATATTATACACGTGAGACATATTATACACATGAGTCATATTATACACATGAGACATGTTATGCACGTGAGTCATATTATACACATGAGACATATTATACATATGAGTCATATTATACACATGAGACATGTTATACACATGAGACATATTGTACACATGATACATATTGTACACATGATACATATTATACACATGATACATATTATACACATGAGACATATTGTACACATGAGACACATTGTACACATTAGACATATTGTACACATGAGACATATAATACACACGAGACATATTATACACATTAGACATATTACACATGAGACATATTATACATATGAGTCATATTATAAACATGAGACATGTTATGCACGTGAGTCATATTATACACATGAGACATATTATACATATGAGACATATTACACTCATGAGACATATTATACACATTACACATATTGTACACATAAGACATATTACACACATGAGACATATGAATGGTTACTAACATGAGACATATTATACACATGAGACATATTGTATACATGAGACATATTGTACACATGAGACATATTGTACACATGAGACATATTGTACACATAAGACATATTACACACATTAGACATATTACACACATGAGACATATTGTATACATGATACATATTGTACACATAAGACATATAATACACATGAGACATATTATACACATGAGCCTTATTATACACGTGAGACATATTATACACATGAGTCATATTATACACATGAGACATGTTATGCACGTGAGTCATATTATACACATGAGACATATTATACATATGAGTCATATTATAAACATGAGACATGTTATGCACGTGAGTCATATGATACACATGAGACATATTATACACATGAGCCATATTATACACATGAGACATGTTATACACATAAGACATATTGTACACATAAGACATATTATACACATGAGCCATATTATACACATGAGACATGTTATACACATAAGACATATTGTACGCATAAGACATATTATACACATGAGACATATTGTATACATGAGACATATTGTACACATGAGACATATTGTACTCATAAGACATATTACACACATGAGACATATGAATGGTTACTAACATGAGACATATTATACACATGAGACATGTTATACACATAAGACATATTGTACACATAAGACATATTATACACATGAGCCATATTATACACGTGAGACATATTATACACATGAGACATATTACACACATGAGACATATTGTATACATGATACATATTGTACACATAAGACATATTATACACATGAGCCATATTATACACGTGAGACATATTATACACATGAGTCATATTATACACATGAGACATGTTATGCACGTGAGTCATATTATACACATGAGACATATTATACATATGAGTCATATTATAAACATGAGACATGTTATGCACGTGAGTCATATGATACACATGAGACATATTATATACATGAGACATATTGTACACATGAGACACATTATACACATGAGACATATTACACACATGAGACATATTATACACATTAGACATATTGTACAAATGAAACATATTATACACATGAGACATATTATACATATGAGACATATTACACTCATGAGACATATTATACACATTACACATATTGTACACATAAGACATATTACACACATGAGACATATGAATGGTTACTAACATGAGACATATTATACACATGAGACATATTGTATACATGAGACATATTGTACACATGAGACATATTGTACACATAAGACATATTACACACATGAGACATATGAATGGTTACTATGGTATTGTGATACTGTAATTCCAAAAGTGGATTTAATTGAAAGTGCATTTTGAAGATCACAAAAGATCATTGGAAAAATCGACTTAGACTGGCTATCGGAACATTTGACTTTTACATATGTAACATATGTAACACATGTAACACTTTGTGTTAAATCAGCTGAAATGATATTGTTACACAAGGGCGTAGCTAGCCCTTGTTCGGAGTGAATTAATTTAGGGGCGGGTCCAGGGATGAGTCTTGGTAGGGGTGGGGGCTTTTCAACTTATTTTTTATTTATCTCAACACCTTTGAATCACAATGGTATACAGAGATATAT